TTTGACATAAGAGTCATACACATCGTATTTGCACTAAACAGGCAAAACACCCACAGTAAAGTGAACTTTGCAGTGCGGTATACATTGTAGCAGTGACACACATCTTAACGTGTGTCTGCAAGCGGGTTTGCCCTTCCTTTTAATCAGTGGAGCAAAATAAAGTGTCCTTAATCCTGACCCTGTCCTAAAGTTTGTGAGTTTAAATGCTAACTTTAACTTTTATATTATTTGATTTTTATAGCTTGAAATTTTGAAACAGGGTCTTGGAGTCTTGTTAAACTGCCTAGGGTGGACTCCAATTTCCAATTCTCAGGTCTCAGTCTCACTAGTAGCTGAGATTATAGGTGGTTATCACTGTACTTGACTTACTGGCTTTTTTTTTTTAAACAAGGTCTCATGTAGCTCAGACTATCCTTAAACTTGTCATGTTTCTAAGGATGACCTTGGACTTCTGATTTTCCCTTCCCTACCTGTATAGTGCTGTATTATTTGCGTATACCTCTCTGCCTGATTTTTGTGATGCTGGAGATCAAACCCTGGGCTTCTTTCAGGCTGAGGCAAGCACTCTAGCAAGGGAGCTATGTGTTTATTCCTATATTTGCATCCTTATTGATGAATGTTCAGGTTACTTCCTCATTTACAGTATTTTAAAGTTATGAGTGGAAAAACAACAAACAATTTGATACCTTTGTAATTTCACTTCTGTCTTGACTAATATTTACTATGTGGACTGACATGAACATGTAATATTATTTATAAATGAATATACATATATTGTGGTCCATGCTAAAGGTTTCTGCCTTTGATAGAGTGAACGTCACATGTTTTACTCTATACTACATCATTAAACATTTTGGGTTATGTATATCAATATACACATTATATGCATGCTTATTTGCAAATTATATAAATATATACTACTGTGTTAGTAAAGATTTATAAAGTGAAGGAAAAAGGCAGATGAAGAACAGTGTGGCATTTTAGCTATAGAAAAGCCTTGGTTTCTCTCACTCACAACTACTTTTATTTAGAGTCCAGTCACTGTCTGATGGCACCCTACTGTGGTCTAACTACTTAAGAGGCTGGGGCAGAAGCATCATTTATATCTAGAGTTTGGAGTTCAAGACTAGCTTGAGCATCCTGGTGAGATTCCATTTTAAAAAAAAGAACAAAGGAATAAACAAAACAACAGTAAGGAATGAGAGAAGATATAAAGTCTATTATATGTATTTATGATCTTCTTTCCTGCCATGGCCGACAGAGTGTCCATCAGTGTTAAGAAGGAGACATAGGGACTGATGAGGTGGCTTACTGGGTAAAGGTGCTCCCTGCCAAGTCTGGTGAACTGAATACCAATTTTAAGAGTTATTAATACATGGCATCTATACATCAATCTGAGGATTGGAATTATTGCACCGCTTTTCTATTTTGAGTGACTGTCTTTCTGAATTTAGGTGCTGCTGTGGCCGGCTGATACAAGAACATCATGGGTTAGATTATGCCTGGACCCTCTCAGCCGCTGGGGGCGAGGGGGATCAACAGTGGTCTGCTGAGAAGCACACAGTGAAGAGCCCTACAGACACCTTTGGCACCATTAATTTCCAAGATGGAGAACATATCTACCACTCCAAGGTCTGCTGATAACCCGAAGCATCTCGCTAGTTTTGAACTGAAGAGACCTTTCAAGTGTACTTCTAAGGAGAGAGAGCCACATATCATGGCTTTACTTCAAAGGGAGCCATGTCATTGATCCACTGTCACGTCTAGCCAGGTCTTCACTTCCCTTAGGTGTGAAGGGCGTTGTCTGCCTCTCAGGTGTAGGAATAGGTCCAGATGGGCAAGCAGATGACAGTCTAAGTAGGTTATAGCAGCAATGGGGACTGATCTGAGCTGAAGCTCCTAGGGCAGTTCCACGTTCCCTGCTTGTGAGTCCCTTGACACACACTGAGGGTGGTCAGATGACACACCCGTAGAGTTCATTATCATTTTATTGTTAGATGGTTTATTGTTAGGTGTTGTGGGGTCCAGGTGACAGTGTTTCTTCACTATGGTGTTTCTCGTAAGTTCTCAAAATTAGTTTTCTTGGATGACTTTAATATTATTATGCGATCTTATGGCCTCTGTTAACTTTATAAATTTATAGAGTAGCTCCTTTTAACATTTTAGGGTTATTTAATCAGTTTGTTCCCTGTGGGTGGTGCCAGGGAGATGGCGCTGTTTATGTGGTCAACAAGGTGCAGTCTGCACTTGCAGGCAAAGTGGAGTCAAGTCGTGCTTGTAAAGTGGAATCTCTCAGGGCAAGGTGCAGCCTGTAACGCTATGGTTTTACACAGCATGCCGTCCGTGACTTTGGGCAGGGCACAGCCTGATTTTAGCAGCAGCCAGGAAGAAATAGAGAAGAGGGACAAGGGTAACAGTGTCCTTGCAGGGTGCACCCCCAATGACCTAACATCTTTCCATTCGGCCCCATCTTCTGCAGCTTCTGCCATTTCCCATTAATGCTGGCGAGTAGGCCTTTAACACGATGCTTTTGAGGACACTACATATCCAGACTGTAGCATACAGTGTTAACAGGTCAACTGGTCCTCAGGTGTACTCTTCTGAGAGCAATCATCACCTGATGTTTTCTGAGCACCTGATTTCCCAAGTAGAGCAACCTCAGGAAACCTGAGGGCCAGTCATGCTCTGGAGGTGACCATCAAAGGCAGCTTAATAAAGTTGCAGTGCGTGTCTAGAGGAATCCATATTTATAGTTATCCGTCCTCTTGCCTTTAACTATGCAGGCTTATTTCTGTTTTAGTTGGCAGAAAAATTCCCCCTCATTTTCTGATCCCCTTCGGAGTCTGATTTTTAGAGAATCTATTTTCCCTTCAAGTTTGACACTCTTTCCTTTTGTTGTTTTTGTTTATATGTTTGTTTTGTTCTTGTGAGACAGGGTTTCTCTGTGAAACAGCCCTAACTGTCCTGAAACTCACTTTGCAAACTAGTCTGGCCTTGAACTCAGAAATCTGCTCTCCTCTGCCTCCCAAGTGCTGGGTTTAAAGGTGTGCACTACCACCACCAGGCTTGCTATTTTTTTTTAAAAAAGACATTTATTTACTTACTTACTTTTTAATTTGTGTGTGTGTGTGTGTGTGTGTGTGTGTGTGTGTGTGTGACATATGTGTGGGGTGCTGGTGGAGGCCAAAAGAGACTATTAGATGCCCGGGTCTAGGGTTATAGGTTGTTGTAAGCCACTTAATATAGGTACTGAGAACTGAACTTGAGTCCTCTGGAAGAACAGCAAGTGTTCTTTACCACTGAGCATCCCTGTCTTTCCCCTTTCTCTCTGTATGTCTGTCTTTATCTCATTGTTATTGTTGATTTGTGGTGGGGGTGGAGCCCAGGACCTTCTATGTGTAAGTCAAGTGCTCTATTATTATACCATGATTCCAGATATTGTTTATTCTTATCCACCTTTATTTACTTTTTTTTTCTGCATATCCATTACTTAATGTGTGCCTATATACTTTGTATGGTCCAAAAAGAATAGGTTTTCTATATTGACAATGATTGACATTTGGGGAGGGACACAGGAAAAAATACACAATCCTCACAAAAGTGGAGGATGCTATATGAGCAGGTTCTCTGAGAGAATGAAAGTGATAACCCCTTCTGTCTCAGAGAGAGGACACAGTGTGCAACGAGGAATGCATTCAAAGGTAGAGAAAACGGGCCCCTGTGTTGAGCGGAGATGTGAAAGTGAACAAGGAGAAGGGGCCCAGTGAAGAAGTTGCTTTGCTTGTACAAAGGTCAAAGAACATTCCGGAAAATTGAGAATAGAGCTAGACATATCTCCTGGCAATTGGCTAATTTTTTTTTCCTTAAATTTGTTTTTATTTGATGTGCATGGATGTTTTGTCTGCATGTGTCTGTGCACCACATGTGTGCCTGGTGCCCATGGAGGTGGGAAGAGAGCATCAGATCTCCTGGACCTGGAGTTACAGATGGTTGGAATTCTCCATTTGGGTGCTAGGAATTGAACCTTCATCCTCTGGAAGGGCTGCCAGCTCAGCAACCACTGAGCCATCTCTTTGGCTCCCACAGCTTTTGACTGTCATTACAACTTGTGTATCTGAGTGCATCTTACTTCATGTCTCAGCAAAATGTGCTTCATCCTTCCAGCTCATATTGAGTAGCATCCAATCTTGAGAGAGACTGTCTTTTGTTTCCTTCTGCTGCAGTTTTCTTCGCAGAGTCCCTCCCCTCCGCAGTACCCCATTCTACAAAGGATCTGAGAGAGTCTGCTTATTAGGTTGAGCCTGGGGGAGTGAGTTACTTATAAAGGAAATAGAAGAGAGGTGTTCAGTTGGCCTTCTTTGCAGTGTTTATCCAAAGAGCAGTATCTTTTAGCATGGGGAAGATCTAGAGTTGAAGACAGGCTCACCCTAGAGAAGAGCTGGGGTACAGACAGGTGAATGGAACCCAGGCTCCTCCTTTGCCCTCACCCATTGCTCTCAGCAACAGACCCATCTCATAAGGGTCTGCTTGTGTTTGCCCTGCTGCTGCTGTGTGTTGTAAAGCCTGGTAGTACAGTGCCATCTCTCATACATGGACTCATGGTCTGCCTTCTAGTCTTCCTATTACACGTGTGTAATGATAGCTGTACAGACCAGACGGTCAGAAATTCTAATATTTTACTTATGAAACGAAGTATTCCTATATCAACAAGTTTAAAGATAAATAGCAAACTAATTTGTTATTTTAGAGGCTACTGTGATAATTTATAGTTGCTTGTATGGAGAGTTCCACCCATGCTTTCTTTTGACATAGACTTGTATTGTAATTAATGTTTTCCCAGTGTCCCCCTTTTTTCCATAACCTTGGCTCATTCCTGCTGGTTGGGATTCTGTTTGAGGAAGACGAACTCATCTCACTGTGCAGAACTGTGGCCAATCATGCCCTGTAATGTCAGACCAGTGGCTCTCTTAGGTGTGACCTCACCGGTCTTTTCTTTGGCTAGCACTATCAGAGATGAATGTACTTATTTTCAAAAGAAAATTTTCTCAGAGGGATAATGGTATGCAAAGAAATTATTGGTAGATAAATTAAAAACACAAGTTCATGCTCCTGAATTTTTAAAGTGTCTACAAATATATGAGAAGGATCAAGTAAATGCAGAGTCATGGGTTGTTGAAAAGTCATATTTCATCTTTTTTGTAAAGTTCCTCTCAATGGCTTTGCTGATGTACTGATGAAGTATTCCTGCCTCACCTCCAGCCTTCTTATGAACCATGGAGTCCAAACCTCCAAACAGAGGAAGCTTATCTGTCATGGTTTATAATTCCCAGAAAGAAGTTGGAGGGAGTGTGGAGCCTTTAAAAGAAAACATTTCCATTAGGTGAAGTTAAACTTTCAGAGAGGCCCTCAACACTTCCGACCAGGCTGAGGCTACCCTAGTGGCCCTGCTGTGTGCGGATTTTCTCTACTGACTTGCATGTTGCACTGTGTTCTCTTCATGGGTGTATACTGTCCTTCCAGTACATCAGAACGTCTTGGGATACAAACTCAGAACACCTGTTGCAGTTAATGTTGAAAGAGTGGAATATGGAGCTGCCAAAGCTTGTGATCTCTGTCCATGGGGGTATCCAGAACTTCAAGATGTCCTCTAACCTCAAAGAAGCCTTCAGCCAGGGTCTGGTCAAAGCTGCAGAGACCACAGGAGCATGGATAATTACAGAAGGCATAAACTCAGGTAAAGCGCATGCCAGATCCTTACCTTGCACCCCACTTCTCTATCTAACCATGAGTCAAATACCCTGCTATCAAATGCCTTTATATCAGAGTTAATCTTCAGGGTATTTTACTGGTACGTTTGATAACATTACAATGCTCAAGATGTTAAGCAGTACATGGAACATTCTAGCCAGGCAAGAGTAGTGACTGTGTTAGAAATTGGTCAAGGAAGAGAATTATTCAGGTCCTGGTTCCGTGGTAAGAGGAAGAGAGGTTAAGAGAGGAGAGAGAAAGTCAAGAAGCCAGCATCCAATTCCACAGTGCTAAGAGTCTACCTTAAGAATGACATTTCATATATGATCGTCTATTTGTCTGTGAGAGTCATTGTTTATCTTGATCTATGAGCTGAAATTTGACTTCTGCTCTGGTTGTTTCATAGGAGTGTCCAAGCATGTTGGGGATGCCCTAAAAGCCCATTCCTCTAAGTGTTTGAGGAAAATCTCCACAGTTGGAATCCCTCCTTGGGGTGTCATTGAGAACCAGAGGGAACTGGTTGGAAGAGACGTAAGTAGACAATTCTTTCATAACAAAGGGAAATGAAATGTATCTGAATTGCCATCATTACGATGGACCCAACTATCTGAGAAGACAACTCAAATGTGATAAATCCCAAACCAACTTAACCTTCCTATGGCATCTGTCATCCTAGATCATAAAATGTCACTCTGTCTTGCAGTTGCCTAATTCAAAACCTTGGATTAAGTTTAGAGCAACCCCTTTTGTGTTATGCCTCAAATTCAACCTGTCGGTAAACTCTCAGCTCCTCCTTCAGAGTATAATCAGAATCTGACTTCTTTTTTCCTCCTCTGTCATTGAGACAGAACCAAATGGCCATGCTCTGATGCCCAAATGCTCGGAAGTCCCCCTTTCTCTTACTTTTGTGTTCTGTTGTAGTCTAGCCTCAATGCAATAGCAGAGTAATGCTTTTTTCTTGTTTTTATTGAGCTATACATTTTTCTCTGCTTCTCACCCTTCTACTCCCCTCCCCTTCTAACCTCTCCCATGGTCCCAGTGTTCCTAATTTACTGATTATATCTTGTCTTTTTCTACTTCCCATGAAGATTAGATCCATGTATGTCTCTCTTAGGGTCGTCTTTGTTGCATATTCCAGATATTAATCCTCTGTAGGATGTGTAGGTAGTAAATGTTTTATTCCATTTTAAATTCTGCCTCTTCAATTGATTAATAGTCAATTTTAGAAATTTTACAGCGTCCTATTTGTCAATCATTGTTCTTTTTTTTCTGAGTGGCTAGAGATATAATCAGACAGTCTTCCCCTTACTTATATCTTAAAGTGTTCTTTCTATATTTTTTTCTAGAAGCTGCTGAGTTTCAGGGCTTACATTAAGATATTTCTAAAATATATGAGCAACTTAAGAAAATATCATTATAATACTATTAACATTCCCCAAAATTAACAATAATTAATAAGTACCCTTGGCTTCCCAGTGAAATCTAGTTTTTCATTGCTTCATAGTTTAAAAATTTTGGTTTGTCTATATTCATTGTATAAAGTAATGGACTTCAATACAACATCTTCACACACACATGCGTGTAGCATATCTGACTTAACTGTTGGTGGATTTTTTTTCTTTCCCACCTGACAGTTCCCAAATAACCAATACAGAGACTCAATATTAATTATAAATGCTCAGCCCATAGCTCAGGCTTATTATTAACTAGCTCTTACAACTTAAATTAGCCCACTTCTCTGTGCTGCCATGTGGCTTGTGGCTTTACCTCTCCTCCAGCACGTCTTGGTCCCTCTACATCTCTTGGTGACTCTGAGACTCTGTCCTTTTTCTATCTAGCATTCTCGGTTTGGCTCTCCTGCCTAACCTTATCTTGTCCAGCTATTGGCCAGTCAACTTCTTTATTAAAACAACGTGAGTGCCAAATCTTTGCTGCATACGTAAGGGTTATTCTACAGCACACATCTATTCCCCCTTACCCTCACTTGTGCTTTGTTCCACTTACCATGTTTCTCTTCCTCTTCCAGAAGAGTATTCTTCTACTTTAATGTCCTTAAAATCTAAATTCAATATAGTTTCATAGTTTTAAATCTTTTGTTTTTTAGTAACCAACAATGTTCCATTTATTGTGATAGACCAATACATTTTTTGATTTTCAGTTTTCCTTATTGACTTATAATTCATTTTGCCCCATATATGACTTATCATATATATATCATATTTGCCCCTATAATAACTTATAGTTGATATTTACAATTAATTGCCCCTCCAATTTGTTGAAGAAATTAAACCATTTGCCTCAAAAAGTTTCTGACAGTTTGGATTTTCCAGATATATAGCCTATTGAAGCAGGCCTAGCATGGTTTTTTTGTCTCTTGTCTTTCTTGTAAATTGCTAGTTTGATCTATGATTATATTCAGATTTCTTTTGTGCAAATTTATGCCTTGAGAGGAGCTATATCCCTTTTATGTAATATTTGATACCTACCAATTTATGATTTTTGGCAGCCATGTTCTAGATTTAATTTTCAACAGCAATATGTCCTAGTTAGGTTTTCTATTGCTCTGATAAAGACCATGCTAAAAGCAACTTAGGGAGGAAAGGCTATATTTGGCTTACAGGTTACGGTTCCTCATCAGAGAGGAACTGAAACAGAGACCATGGAAGAGTGCTGCATACTGGCTTGCTCCTTCTGACTTGCTCAGTTTGCTTTCTTATACATCACAGGACCATTTGCCCAGGGGTGGTATAACACACCGTTGCCTGAGCTCTTCTACATCAATTATTAATATAGGCTTGCCTATAAACCAATGTGATGGAGGCATTTGCCCATTGAAGGCCCCTCTTCTCAGATCATTGAAGGCCCCTCTTCTCAGATCATTGAAGGCCCCTCTTCTCAGATCATTGAAGGCCCCTCTTCTCAGATCATTGAAGGTCCCTCTTCTCAGATCATTGAAGGTCCCTCTTCTCAGATCATTGAAGGTCCCTCTTCTCAGATCATTGAAGGTCCCTCTTCTCAGATCATTGAAGGTCCCTCTTCTCAGATCATTGAAGGTCCCTCTTCTCAGATCATTGAAGGTCCCTCTTCTCAGATCATTGAAGGTCCCTCTTCTCAGATCATTGAAGGTCCCTCTTCTCAGATCATTGAAGGTCCCTCTTCTCAGATCATTGAAGGCCCTCTTCTCAGATCATTGAAGGTCCCTCTTCTCAGATCATTGAAGGTCCCTCTTCTCAGATCATTGAAGGTCCCTCTTCTCAGATCATTGAAGGTCCCTCTTCTCAGATCATTGAAGGTCCCTCTTCTCAGATCATTGAAGGCCCTCTTCTCAGATCATTGAAGGTCCCTCTTCTCAGATCATTGAAGGCCCCTCTTCTCAGATCATTGAAGGTCCCTCTTCTCAGATCATTGAAGGCCCCTCTTCTCAGATCATTGAAGGTCCCTCTTCTCAGATCATTGAAGGTCCCTCTTCTCAGATCCTTGAAGGTCCCTCTTCTCAGATCATTGAAGGTCCCTCTTCTCAGATCATTGAAGGTCTCTCTTCTCAGATCATTGAAGGTCCCTCTTCTCAGATCATTGAAGGTCCCTCTTCTCAGATCATTGAAGGTCCCTCTTCTCAGATCATTGAAGGTCCCTCTTCTCAGATCATTGAAGGTCCCTCTTCTCAGACCATTGAAGGTCCCTCTTCTCAGATCATTGAAGGTCCCTCTTCTCAGATCATTGAAGGTCCCTCTTCTCAGATCATTGAAGGCCCTCTTCTCAGATCATTGAAGGTCCCTCTTCTCAGATCATTGAAGGCCCCTCTTCTCAGATCATTGAAGGTCCCTCTTCTCAGATCATTGAAGGTCCCTCTTCTCAGATCATTGAAGGCCCCTCTTCTCAGATCATTGAAGGCCCCTCTTCTCAGATCATTGAAGGTCCCTCTTCTCAGATCATTGAAGGTCCCTCTTCTCAGATCATTGAAGGTCCCTCTTCTCAGATCATTGAAGGTCCCTCTTCTCAGATCATTGAAGGTCCCTCTTCTCAGATCATTGAAGGTCCCTCTTCTCAGATCATTGAAGGTCCCTCTTCTCAGATCATTGAAGGTCCCTCTTCTCAGATCATTGAAGGCCCTCTTCTCAGATCATTGAAGGTCCCTCTTCTCAGATCATTGAAGGCCCCTCTTCTCAGATCATTGAAGGTCCCTCTTCTCAGATCATTGAAGGTCCCTCTTCTCAGATCATTGAAGGTCCCTCTTCTCAGATCATTTTAGCTTGTGTCACGTTGACAAAAACCTAACCAATGTAGGTAACAAATGATATTTAATTGTAGCATTCTTTTTGCACTTACTAGCTTAACACCCTATCGAGAGAAATAGTTTAATCAACATATGTATCATTTTATGCTACATGAGAATACTGAAAGGGCAAGGTATTACCTGATACCTTATTTGGCAATTTTCAAAATCTTGGGATGTTCACCTATTATTCTTCAAAGGTGAAAGATGACTTTTTGTCTAAAGCTTATGAAATGTTTTCTTTTTTCTCTTTTTTAATTGATTTTTTTTATTGAGCTCTACTTTTTCTCTGCTCCCCTCCTTGCTTCTCCCCTCCCCACTTTAATCCTCCCCCAAGGTCCCCATTCTCCAAACTTACTCAGGAGATCTTGTCTGTTTCTACTTCCCACATAGATTAGATCTATGTATGTCTCTCTTTGTGTCCTCATTGTTGTCTAAGTTCTCTGGGATTGTGATTTGTAGGCTGGTTATCTTTGCCTTATGTTTATGAATTTTAAGCTTTTGATGTGATCTCACCTATTCATCCTGTGACTGATGTAGTGATATTTCATTAGTATTTTAATAAAGTTTGCCTGAGGATCAGAAAAGTAAAACAGCCACACTGGCCAGCCTTGCAAATTAGGCAGCAATGACTTGCACCTTTAATCCCAGTAGCCACACTAACTTGCCATAGAAGCCTGGCAGTAGTGTGCATACCCTTAATCCCATAACTACAGGAAATTACAAGGTGGGAGGAGACAGCTCTCAGTCTCATTCTGAGATTCCTGGAGGCAGGATCACCATTTCAAACTGAGGTAGAGGTAAGAGCCAGTGGCTGGCTATTTTGCTTTTCTGACCTTATGGTTGAACCCCAATTTCTGTCTCTTTATTATCTATCTCTTTATTATTTGGGGTTGAACCCCAATTTCTGTTTCTTTATTAATCGGGCTTCACTCTGATTGTTTATGAAGTTTAGTATCTGTGTATATTTTTATGCATTACCATAATTCAACCCCATAACATTGTCAATCTTAAGCATTTCTCTCAGCTTTTATTTTGCACTATTTTTTTCTCTGAATGCAAAACATGAAGTAAACCTACCAGTGACTTTCCTTTTGGTTTCTGGCTTCTGCATTATTCTGTGGAATTATAAAGTTAATCATTAAAGGCTAAGGCCTGTTGTTTCTCTGAAGTCTTACAAAAACCCCGTGGTACTGGAATGATCATTATCCTTACTTACACATGAGAAAAAGCGAGACAGAAACTACCCAGAGTTAAAATTAGCCCGAGATTACACTTGGAAATAAGAAGTGGAGCAGCTTAAGGGAGAGTCCATAAATGTAACAAAGACCCCGAAGTCACACTGCTGTCTGTTATCCTGTATTTCATTTGGAATATGTGAAAAAATAGTACCAAAATGTTATTCTAAAGTTTACTAGAATGAGTTTTTTGTTGGATAATGGTGTAGTCTATGGACTGGTGCCCATCCTTGAACTGTTTTTTTAATGGTCAGAAAGTAAGTACCAAAAATGAGAAATTACTTTTTAGAACCATTTTAGTAATATGACTACCATGTCATCTAAGCCCGTGGTCGGGTGCTTATCCTGCTGAAGTGGGTAGGGTATGTGTGGATATTGCTCAGCATGTCCTTTTCATGCTCTGCAAGGTCCCCTATTGTTGAAGGGCATTGTTTGATCTGTAAGAAATGGGAAATTTTTAAAAAGATAAGCTTGTTGAGAAATATGGTCCTAAATAGTCAGTAATACTTTTCATCTAGATACGGTGTTCCATTAGTGTAGACGAACAGGGCTTAGAGTCAACGAGGTCTGTGGAAGGACTCTGAAGCCCCCTCGTCCTTGTTGTCTCTCAGGTAGTGTGCATGTACCAGACTGTGGGTGGCAACCCGTTCAGCAAGCTCACCACCCTCAACTCCATGCACTCTCACTTCATCCTGTGTGACGACGGGACAGTGGGCAAGTATGGAAATGAGGAGAAGCTCAGGCGGAACCTGGAGAAGCATCTCTCCATGCAGAAGATACACAGCTGTAAGTTCCATCGGGGCTGGCATCTGGCAGCCACGGGGTGGGGTGCTGGGGGCTTGTTAGTGAACCAGGTGCCTCCTTGTCATCTACTCGGGGTGAACAGACCTCAGGGGCTCCTTGCCTTTGAGCAGCCAGAGCGTCCAGATAACACACTTGAGTCAAAAGATAGAAGAAAGCAGGATGTTGGTTGATACAGTGTTGTTGGTGACGGTAGGACAGAAAAATAAGTCTTTGGAGGACAGAGTAGTCGGGGGAGATTTTCTCATGAATGAAACTTTAGCAAGGCATCCAAGAGCGTGTAGGGCTAGACAGAGAGCGAGAGGGAAGTGTCCATGTGTAAATGGGAATGGCTAAGGAGAAATAAAAAAGATGAACTCAAGAGGAATATGCATCTGAACTGTGATTGTCAAGGAAGACTGAAATTTCATATGTCTGCCTTCGGCAGGGAAGGAGTTAAAAATCAGCACTCAGGGTACAGGTTAAAACCTGTAGAAAGAAGAGTTTGGAAGGCATTAAAGCTGTGCTGTGTTCACATTGGTGCTGTAAGAATGTCACTTTTTGGCTGGAGAGTACATGTAGCAGACAGTGGCAATCCTGTTGGCATTACAGTTATGTGATAGGAGGCTTGTCTAGCACTTGTGAGGCTCTGTTCCAACCCAGCACTGCCAAGATCTGTCCTCCCTCAGCAGCAGCAATGACAACAAATGGCCATTTGGTGTTGTTTGTGGAGCAGGCCTGCTAGTCAGGCTGGCTAGAGAATCCTTCTAGAAAGAGGTGGGTGCGGGGAGGCTACTGCTTTCTGGAGGGATGGAGACTTTTTACTCAGGCATCACCAAGTGAGCCCGGAGTTGTACTGAGCCAAGTCTTCCATAAGATACCTGAACCTTTCAAGGTGCTAGAGTTGTTTGCCCCCTTCGCGTGGTGACTACAGCAGTAAGTCTCTAGATTTTGTTGTTGCTCCTTTGAGGCAGCAGCAAGTGTGGGATTAGAGACAACTGTGTGTTTGTTGTCTGTGAGGTTGGGCAATGGAGCTAACACTTGCTAAACTTTTAAACTTTATAAGTGTAAAGATTTGTCTATCTTGAACTTTTGTTTCAGAAACCTAGAAAAAAATGTGTTCAATAATGTCTTAGAATCCCCCTTCCCTCCATGATGAGATTCTCTGACAACAGCAACTGCGGGAAGATTGAGCTTGTTCTGGCTCTCAGTTCAAGGGTATGGTCCATCATGCTGGGGTAGTCAAGGCAATAGCAGCTTGAAGAAATTGGTTCTTTCGCATCCACAATCGGGAGGCAGAGGAATTGTACGCATGTTAGTGTCCCACTTGCTTTTCTTCATTTTATACAGTCTGGGAAGCTCTTCCCAGAGAATAGTCCTGTTTACATTCAAGACGGTTCTTCCCATATCAGTGAGTGCAATCAAAATAATCTCCCACAGGCATGCCTAGAGGGCCATCTCCCAGGAGATTCCAGACTCTTCCGAGTTGACAGCAAACACTAATCTGCCTTTTGCTTTGCAGAGGATATACTTGGGTTAGAGGCCCAAGCAGCCCCCAAAAGTCAAGATCTTGGGGCCTTATGAACTTCAGGAAGTGGGAAGTAAGCACGGGCTTCTCCTGGCAGTCATCCTACATAGATCCCTGTTTTAGTTAGGGTTTCTATTGCTGTGAAGTGACACCAGGGTCAGGCAAATCTTCTAAAGGAAAACATTTAATTGGGGCTTGCTTATAGTTTCAGAGGTTTAGTCCATTATCATCATGGCAAGAAGTAAGGTAGCACACAGGCAGACATGATGCTCGAGATGTAGCTGAGAGTTCTACATCCAGATCAGCAGAAAGCAGGAACAGAACACCACACTAGACAGGACAGCTTTGTGACAGTGTGGTACTGTTTGTGACCTGAAACAGGCTCAAGACAAGGTGTACCCGTGGTGGGGCTGGTGGTGGAAGGAGGCCCCAACGTCATCCTCTCAGTGTGGGAATCTGTCAAGAACAAGGAGCCTGTGGTGGTGTGTGAGGGCACGGGCCGAGCCGCGGACCTCTTGGCCTTCACCTACAAACACTTGGAGGATGGAGGGTGAGTTGTTGACTCTTCCGTTTTGAAAATATGGTGACTATTCCTTCTGTGTGTGTTTGTGGGCCAGATGAGCCACATGCAGAGACAGCCATTCCTCTTTCAGTGACTGGATTTGTGCAGCAGACCCCCACCCTGTAACTGGGAGAGTGATTATTGTCTCAGCTGAGCAATCACCTTCCTTTCCAGGAGATCAGACCATCAGACAATATTATACCCAGACTGTGAAAACACACTGCCTTCTAGAACCCTATCAGCCTGGAACCCTATGAGATCCAGAAGACCAGCTTAGAATGTATTGTTCTAGGGGACCTGGTGGATGAATACTTCTCACATTACACTTCATCCTCCCCACTTGCCATGTATTTGCTTATTGCTCATGGACTCTCTTGAGGGCATCTTTCTCAGTAGGGAATCTGCATGGAGTACCCTATAGCATCCCTGCTTCTGGCTTGGCCTCTTCTCTTCAAGTTACGCCCATTTATTTCTCTGCCAGGATGCTGCGCCCTCAGGTGAAAGAAGAGATCATCTGCTTGGTTCAGAGCATGTTCAACTTTAGCCTTAGGCAGTCTAAGCACCTTTTCCAAATTCTAATGGACTGCATGGTGCACAAGGATTCAGTAAGTATGATGAGCTGATGACTTAAAAAAAAAAAGACCACCTTCTGAAAATCAAAATATTTATCTTCACATTTTTTTTTTAAAAAAAGCATGGAATACCCATTTTGAACTTTGATGGATATAACTCTGCAAAACTTGACCCTTCAGTTGTGTAAACTTGATTCCTGCTCCACCTCCGCTCTTACCCTTCCATTGCAGATTCTATCTGGGACAAAGCCCTTACAAAAACATATTACACAAAAGTTACCAAACAGAAACACTTGCAAGGGTTGAAAGAGTGGCTCCAGGAGTCCAGGGACCTAAGTCTGCTGTGTTAGATGACTATATATATATATATATATATATATATATATGTGTGTGTGTGTGTGTGTGTGTGTGTGTGTGTGTGTGTGTGTAAAGTCTAAAAATCTAGAAAGGAAACCAAAAAAGGGTAATATCAGATGATAAAGGATATTATGTTCCACCACACACAACAAAGGACACGTGGGAAATCAAAGAGGAAAAGAATCTGTTAAGAGGGTGCCAGGGGCACAAGAGTACCAATGGATGTGGGGATGGTGGAAACAAGAACCACAAAATCATCATATTTCATTAAAAATTGTCACAATGGATCTGACACACTCTATGCTATTTTTTTTAAAAGTCAGTCTCACACTAGGATGTCCTGGGCACCTACACTATGAAGACCGCAGCTCATTGGACCATCTGTGGGCTCCATGGTCACCATCTCACTGAGGTCAGGATGAACATTTGAGGAGTCACTTGAGGAGTCTTAGTTTCAATGCTTATGTGCACAGAGGGCTCTCATGGTTTTCCCTTCCAAAGGAGGGTGAGTCGATTTGCACAGAGTCGACAATGAGGTGTTTTCCCCGAGGAGGATGCATAGTGAGCTCCACGACATGTGAGATTTTTAGTGTTTATTTTTTCCGTGTGCCTCTAATTCTTTGTCACCCTATTTGAAACAGTTTTTGTTCTGTAAGTCACATAACACCATGCTGTTTTTAAATTACAAAACCAGGACTATTTTCTTCAGTAGCTGAAGTGTTCATCTCATTGGTACCATTTGAAGATATGTGTGTGGTAGTTTCTAAACTGCGTGATTTACGATTTCCCCCATCACAGATTACCATATTTGATGCTGATTCTGAGGAGCACCAAGACCTTGATTTGGCAATCCTAACGGCTTTGCTGAAGGGTGAGTGGCCCACCAAATTCACAGCTCCTCCTCCTTTCTTCTTCTCACATTCTAGAGGATTCTGTGCTTTTCACCTAGATATTTTTGAAGAGAATATATGATTATTTCTTTCTTCTCCCCAGGCACAAGCTTATCGGTGTCAGAACAATTAAACCTGGCAATAGCTTGGGACAGAGTGGACATCGCCAAGAAACATATCCTAATTTATGGACAACACTGGAAGGTAAAATGAAATCTTTTTTTAAAAAAGTATGTTGCATGTTGGTTTGTTCAAGAGGGACAAAGAAAAAAATTGGAGGAGAGATAGGTATCACTCTGATGGCTAGGCACCCAGGGAAGCAAAGGCATGTCTCTTTCTTGGTTTGCCTCCTCAAAAACAAAATTTCTCTGGCTTCATGGAAGATGAAATAGGAAGTCAAAAGATCAAAAGAATGAAAAGAGCTTAAATTTATTTTTAATGAGTTAGATTTTGATTAAAATGTAGTATTTATAGTGAAACATGAGAGACTACCACAAGAAGACTCAAAACAAATACATTCTGAGTCCTTAGCCTCTTAACCCAGTGAAAACACAATGTGTGTCTCCTTCTGCCTCTGTGTAGTCCTTCCTTACACGCTGAATTGTGAAGGGCCAGATTAGATCACAAGGCTCAGATGGCTACAGGAGCTCCTTGTGACTAAACCAAGATAAAAAACTATGAATGGCAAGCCAAGACGAAGGGAACCGTTATTGCCATGAAAAACACTTATTCCACAAATTGACTTCAGAAAGACTTGAGGATCCCCTCAGAGGCTAGTATCCCGTCAGAGTGAATCCCCTCTACTCCAGTCACGCCTCTGGTATGTGGGCTATGATCACATTGTCCGGGGTACTCTGCAGACATATTAGCTAGAAACCCTGGCTCTGCTTGGGGACATACACTTCCCCGAAGAGATGACTGAAGTAGGAGACAGGACTTGGTATCTGTGCCTTCACATCACCAGCCCCTTTGCTGCTCAGTCTTGATTCAGACTTTGCTCTGCATAGACATGCTGATCATTTGAGAAATGTTTTGTTTAAAGACTGTGAAGGCTTAACTTGACCACTGCCAGCTGGAGCGGGTTTGAGTTTCTTACGCATGCATTCCCTTCAACTCAAGCACTGAAAGTCCTTCATCCCTGTAACGAGGCCAAGAAGTTTGCGCAAGATGAGGACATGACCCTTTACTCAGCAGCCCGAGTGGAGCTGCACACTTTTTAATCCACCAAATAGAAGACGAGAATGCTTGTGCATAAGAAGCGTGTTTAAAACTCTGCCCATAACTAATGGACAATCACCAAATCTTGGACCATTCCCATAAAAGAATCAAAGCTGGCAGCCTTTTGCTGAAGTGAGCAGCTGCTCTCCTTTGGTTGGCCTCATTTCTACTGTTACCATGCCTCATGTTCCTATTCTCTGATATCGATGATAGAAATCAGTGAAAAGCAGAAAAATGTATTCACTATTCAACATTACAATGGTAATAATCACCATTTATATTGTTTAAGTTGTGACTGTACCCCAGTTGCATTTCATTCAAGCTAACACTTGCACATGGGTTTAAAAACATCAAGTAAGGTTACAAAGCTACAAAAATGATAATTTTCTGTTTCAATGAGCCTTCTACATTTGACACTTTTGAGTATTCTGATACTTGTAACTTTCTAGATTTATTAATTGCATCACAAGGATATCTTCCAATTCATTAAAAATTAGAAACATCTTGACCTTTCTGTCTTGTGAGGCTTACTCTGCAGAGCCGGAGGTTCTTTTTGGTTTTGGAGCTTGGTTGTCATTATGGGTTCTCCCTCAACAGCAAGGGAACTTCTTGTCTCCCTGCTATGTTTCCTGTGCCTCAAGACTCCTTTTCTAGCTTTTCTCTTCTGTAATGATGGCATGGATTAGTAACTTTCTAACAAAGAACATGTGAGATAAATCTTCAGAAGGCCTAATATATGCCTGTATTTTAAGTCAAGACTATAAATATTTTTAAGTTTTTGTTACTATTATTATTATTTTGTTGTTGTTGGGGTATGGGAGGCACACATGCCGTGGCTTGCAAGTGAACACTAGAGGACAACTTTGTGAATTCAGTTCTCTCCTTACAACTTAATGTAGGTTCTAAGTATTCAGGTTGCCGGGCTTTCAGGGCAAATACTTTTGCCTGATGAGCTATTTTGCTTGCCCTAGAACTACATTTTTTTTCCCTGTAGGATTTTGAATGCCTAGCATTGATGTTGACAAATGAACACAATTTCATCTTTAGGTCATTTGTTACCAATTTTTTTCTCTTCCCTGGAAGTTTTAAGATATTTTCTTTCTCCAAGGTTCTGAGGTTTCACAACAGTGTGTATTAGGTCTTGTCTTAATTACTTTCCTTTTGCTGTGATAAAACATCATGACCAAGGCAACTTATAAAAGAAAACATTTAACTGGGCTTATGGTTTCAGAGGGTCAGAGTTTATGATGGTGGAGTGAAGGCCTGGTGGCAGGAACAGCTGAAAGCTCTTATGTCAGAACCACAAACACAAGGCAGAGGGGCACACTGGGAATGGTGCAAGTCTTTTGAAGCCTCAAAGCCTGGCCCCAGTGACACACCTCCTCTGACAAGGCCACACCTCCTAATCCTTCCCAAACAGTTCTATCAGCAAGAGCATTCAGAGATATGACACTCATCCAAACTGCACAACTCTACAGATCCGTTTTGCATGCACTTTCAAACTTTATTCACAGTTCCATTCTATCCCCTATGCTTTCTCTGCTTGTGTTTTTGGATTCCTGTTTCCTTAATACTTACTGAGCTGCTGATAATTTTTTTCTCTTGCTTTTCTTATGTTTGTGTTTGGTAAGTTTTCTTGACTTCTCAGCCTCAGTGCAGGCGCACTATACTGGTAGCATAGGGTTAGTCTACCAAGTCCCATGAGCACATTTGTTTCCTGAGTGGACTGCCTTTCCCCTGTGTTCAGTGTCAACTGGAATAGATCTTATAAATAACTATGAGATAATTATTTATAATATCAATAATTAACAATCCATCAATTTATTAACACTTTATAAATTATTAACAATGATTATTAAATACTTATTAATAATAAAATTATTAACAACAGCCCTTTGGAAGCATTCCTCCTGAATTATTTGGTTTCACCTAGCTTTTAGAAATATTTGTGTTGAATTTTTTTACTCAAGGGTGGAGGACAGACAGGGAAATATTTGTACACGGTACGTTTGAACTTTAGCAAAAGGCTATCTAATGCCATCTGCTGGGGAGACTTTCCTCAGCACATTTTTTTTAATTTATTTATTTATTAAGGATTTCTGCCTCCTCCCTGCCACCGCCTCCCATTTCCCTCCCCCTCCCCCGATCAAGTCCCTCTCCCTTATCAGCTCGAAGAGCAATCAGGGTTCCCTGACCTGTGGGAAGACCAAGGACCGCCCACCTCCATCCAGGTTTAGTAAGGTGAGCATCCAAACTGCCTAGGCTCCCCCAAAGCCAGTACGTGCAGTAGGATCAAAAACCCATTGCCATTGTTCTTGAGTTCTCAGTAGTCCTCATTGTCCACTATGTTCGGCACATTTGTATCTTCTCTTAGTTGGTGATAATTCCAGTAATGAAGTATCTATCCAAGCTGGGAGGTATACACATTACTGCTCTTCGTGAAGGGTCAAGTGGGGACAATAACTTCCAAGTCTTACATTAAACTCTGCACGTATACATTGACTTCACTGTGGTGTCACGGTTGCTTGGCATCGATCTGAGGGATCCTTGGTACTTCTCAGTTCAGTTGTTTGGCTGTGAGTGGACTGTTGAGCCAACTACCACGTGACCAACTGCGTTCCACATTCCATACCGCTGTCCTCATCCTCCCTTACCCCTTCATACTTATGAAGTGATTTGGTTAAATAAGTTCCTCTAAAGTAGTTTTGGTGAACTTTTGGTGGGAAAATTAGATGAATACATTCAATATGCTACTTTTACCTAATACAGATAAGGTTTAAATGGAAAAATTATGGTAGCAAAAAGAAAATTAAAATCAAAAATTTAAAAAAATCTATCAGCCAAATGAATGAGTAAACATTTCTCTCCACTTTCCAATTAAAAATGAACCTAAAAACTCTTAGAATTTCATTAGAATTATATTTAAGACTCACCATCGATTTGTGGGAGCTTTGAGGTTGGTACAGGGTTTAGTTTTCTCACACAAGAACGTGAATCATTCTTGTCTATGTCTTCATTTGGTCCCTGCTTTCTTATGAAGATTGTATTTTATAATGATGGCATTAATGTAGTGTTATCTGTGATTCTTATTTCTCTGTGTCAAATGTCTTCAAACCTCTTCTTTATTTGTACCTCCTGAAGCCCGGCGTTCTAGAACAAGCAATGTTAGACGCCTTAGTGATGGATCGGGAGGATTTTGTGAAACTCTTGATAGAGAATGGAGTGAACCTCCACCGTTTCCTCACCATCCCCCGACTGGAAGATCTTTATAATACAGTGAGTATGGAACACTTCGTGCCATCTTGTTCAAGATTTGTGTACTAGGTATCTTAGTGCTTGTCTGTCTCCTTGAGTGCTCATGTCCCAACATAGTTTTCAGAATGCAGACTTACTTCCCAACTTAAGTCACACCCTTACCATGGAATCATTTTATCTCAAGACAGAGACTACAGTGTGAATAAGAACAAATTGTTTTTTGTTCAATTATTTGGAGAATCTTGACCTAAAGTCACTATTAATATGCTGCTTGTGGGTCAGCGAGGTGGCTTACTGGGTAAAGGCACTTGCGTCCAAGGCTGATGACCAAGTTCGACCCTTGAAACCTGCTTATCTGTTGGGAAAATGCCCATTGCTCGTGCCAGGCATGTTCCTGTATTGTCTCTCCTGCTTCTGTCAGTACCTCCCTCCCTTCTTCATTGTTCCAGGTACCTAGCAGTGATCTCTTTCTAGAATTTGCACAACTTTCAGCTTCTTTTCAGCATGCACATCTTCACACTGTTGGCCACTGCTCTTCATTTTCTGTTACTGTGAATGTTCCCTTGAATCCCTCAGGGTTTGACAAGGTACCAATTGATAGAATGTACTTGTGTACCGAGAGATGTTGTTATCTGATAGAGTTTGTATACAGTAAAGGATGGTCATAAGTGTTCAAGATTTAACTTCTTACCACATAAAACAAACACCTTTACTATCTCTCTCCCTATACATACTTTGAATAATCATGACTTCTTTTGGGAAACTCCCTCTTTATGATGAAGTAGCTTAAGTTTCATTACCAAAGATGTTGAGGAAGGTTTTCAGTGTTCTGGTTTGCCCATATAATTTGAACTACCTATACAGTTCTGAAACAAGGCTCTTCCAGCATATGACAGTCTAATGGAATTCTTCTTTTTCTTCTTTTTTAATCACAGAAACAAGGACCAACTAATATGTTTTTGCGTCATCTTGTCCAAGATGTCAAACAGGTAACTTAAGTATGAAAGTCAAAAATACTCTTTGCCTAATACCTTAGATTTGAGATAGTTGAATGAAAATTTATAAAATGTGGGTTTGGATTTTGTTGAAAACTAACTTACTCTTTAATCACCAAATTTTACTCTTTTAGGGTTTCTCACTGTTTCTGTTTTTAGTTCATTCCATCAACTAAGTGACAATAGTAATGAGAAACATGTATCCGAAGAAGCGGTTCAGTAACACAATGCTTTACATAAAACCTTGAGTCCAGTTGTTATCACAAATAAACAAAAACAAAACAAACAGGCCAGATCTGGGGGTTCATGCTTATAATTCTAACACTCAGGAGCTTGAGGCATGAGGATCCAGGTTTTAAGGGCAGCCTGGGCTACATATTAGACCCTGTCTCAAAAGTCAACCAAAATAAATGAAGAAACATAAGCAATGGGCCAGGACCCCAATAGATTATATCTATCACACAGCCAATGAGAACAGTAGCTGCACAGGCTTTTTGGGAATGTCTAGTGTGTGATTTCTGATATTCTCTGTTATCCTTGTTTTGAGCACCAGTGTCATCTTAGGGATGCAGACAATACCTCTGTGTGTCTGAGCCCTGTTGCAGGGAGTCAGGATGGTCCAACATCCTTGCTCGTGTTTTTCTCAGTGTTCTCATTGAATGCTGAGTAACATGCAACTTGAAAATTTAAAGGTCCTTCATTTGCTGTGGCAAAAAGCTACCCACTGTACATTTTAAGAGCTCTCTCATTTTTTGAGCTTGGTATCTCGTTGGATAGTGTGTGGACTTTCTGCTTCTGTTGACTTACTTGGAGAGTCAGATGAAAGAGGTATATTTACTTGGCAAACTTACAGTAAGCAAAATTGTCTGTGCTGATATAAATTTAAGTTACACTGACTTGAGCTATAGCAAAAGGACTGGCCCGAATTCTTTCCTGAAACTCTGTCACAGTATGCTGAAGAGAAGGAACTGATAAGTTAAATGTGTTGCCTTCTGAGAGCCTGGAAAAAGTGATAGAGGAGAAAAAAAAAACCCTGTGAATCCTCGTTCTTCGTTGTAGCACACCCTTCTCTCGAGCTACAGAATAACACTCATTGACATTGGGCTGGTAATAGAGTACCTCATTGGTGGAGCCTACCGAAGCAGCTACACCAGGAAAAACTTTCGCGTTCTTTACAACAACCTCTACAGAAAAAACAAGGTAAAATCATTGAAAAGTACCCCAGTGTGTGGAAGGGGGAATTGCAAAGTGTGGTTTTAGGAAAATGGCCAAAGGAGTCCCAAGTGGCTTCTGTGATGGCCCTCCCATCTGAGGGCACATGTCACCTGCTGTCTGTACAGTGCTCTGCAAAAGGGTTTGTGAGCTGGCATGAGACGAACACAAAGAAACCTTTTAGAAGAAACAGATTGATGGGTGAAATTACCCACAATACGAAGCGAGATGCTGTGCTGTATTGACATGGAAGCCGTGTGTGATGAATCTGGTTTGAGAGCAGCTGCGATTTCTTTTCTTCCTTTTGAAAACAAAGAGATCAAAGGTCAAACTCTTGATAGATTTGTTTCTATAGACTAACAATGGCCTCTATAGTCTGGAGACTGCATATTGGGCTAAGCGTGTAAGGATTATATTGGAGGGTAAAAAAAGAGTGTGAACTTACAAAAGGGAAAGGTTTTGCAAATGAGAGTGTATTTTCTGTCATAGTTTTGGAAGACCAAGATGATAAAGAGAGAGTTGCCATCACAGATCAGTAGTTAGGGGAGCCTAGTTCTTTTTAGAGATACAAACAGCAGACAAGGAGCACTGGACACTGACGTAGAAAGATAAATGAAAACAGAGAGGGGCGGTACTCAGAACTCAGGATGGGGTTCTGCAGCGACACCGAGACCTTTGTAGTGGGTGGGCAGGTACGAGATTGGAATGTGGCTTGGGAGGAGATTCCATAAAGAACGCGGGCTATGCAGCTGCTTGGGACCTTTATAAAGCATTGGGAGAAGTGCTATACCATCGTAAGTTTAGGAAATGAACTAAACAACCCCCACAAGACCATGCAAAATATGGGAAACCACATCTCACCTAGGAAGTAACCTCTAATGAGGTTTCTGAGGCCAAAAGACACTCAGGATCAGCTCCTGCCTTTGAAAGGAGCGGCAGTACTGAGTGGCAGTGAGGACAGGACTGCTGTGTGGCCTTGGGGAAGCTGGTTTGCTCTTTAGTAGGAGGCTCCATTCCTGCTCGTTCTGGAAACAGGCCGTTCATATGACACATCCATTTCACCAGTGGTTTTGTCCTGAGTGTAGGTGACGGTGTTTCAGAGCAGACCGCAGTCGGACCACAGTGCTAACACGGATGGAGTGTGGAGTCAGAGTGGCTTGACATCAAATCCTATTTGTCTCTTTACTTGGTTTACAAAACGTAATCTGTTCAAACCAGGCGATGGTGACGCAAGCCTTTAATCCCAGCCCTGGCGAGGCAGAGGCAGGTGGATCTCTGTGAGTTCGAGGCCAGCCTGGTCTACAAGAGCTAGTTCCAGGGCACCTAGGGTGCTTACACAGAGAAACCCTGTCTTGAAAAACAAACAAATAAACAAACAAAACCCAAAGAAACAAACCATGATTTGTCTGTTTCCACTCTCCCATTTTTAAATGGGCATACTAATGTCCTATTCGCAAACTTGTGAGAATACCCAAAACCCTCCATGTTCTCATTACAAAGCAAACTTTTAGTGACTTAATTGTTATTCCTTGTGATTGTCACCATGTTGATATTATTAATTCTGTTACAATAATGATGAGACTAATATGGGTATTGGCACTGGAAAGTCTTGACGTCACTCTTCCTGTGTTGATGTTTTACCCATAGCACACAAACTGGAGGAGAGTAGAGCTTTCCAAAACCTGGGGTTTATACCCTAGGCTCTCACGGCAGTCTCTGCAGACTCCTGCTCCTCCTAGCTGACACTTCATTTGGTGCCCATGCAGTGGAAACCTTCCAGAACTTTCTAACTTCACCTTTGCCTTAGAGCTCTCTGTGAATGGAAACTTTTTCTTACCAAAACTGTAAAGTTTGATTGCCTGCTTTGAGCTTGTTCTGCGGCTAATTGATTTTAAAGGAATTTCCGCATAGGAAAGGAACTCAGGGGCAGAATAGGAGACAAAGGAGTGTGCTCTCTAACAGGTCGGGAAATAGTAGTTAATGCTCAACAGACAGAGACGGGGAGGCTACTGAGTGAGGAATCTCCAGACACGTTAGTTACTAATCCTGGACCAGACAAAAGTGTTGGGTGTTTGAGAGGACACGTATTTAGCGTCATCATTGTCTGGAAAGATCATGTTTTCACTACTATAATCTTTTTTTGATCTCTCCCCTTTGGTTTTCTTTAAAAAAACAAAATAACAACATATAGCAGAGTGTGAGCAGCTTGTCTCAGAGCCTTTCCCAGCATTCTCTCCACCAGAGACATTCCTTGGGAAGCAGAAGTGACTCTTCAGAAAGCACCTCGCATTCCCAGTTCTTTAGGACTGCCCAGCCCTACAAATCCAAGGTACACTGCTTTGTTTGTAGAGTTGAACATAAAGTTGCTGTTGCAGACTGAGATGGCCCCTTCCTTTGACACTGGAGAAAGGGAGGGGCTAATGAAGAATCACCGCCCTGTACCATAAACAGACGGTGTAATTCACAAGTGTCACAGCGGTCACAGATGTCCTTCAACAACACGGAGTGCTGACAACCCAGTGATTGTCTGAGCTTGCCCCTCAGGCTCTCTTCTTTGTTCCCATTTCTGCCTTGTACAGTTGGTGACTGTGTATGCCATGGTATTAAACATTCATAGTCATTAGCCTGACACTATGCACTTAACTTCCTTGCTCAAGCCTGGTTGGATATGAGGACCATCCCCTTTATAAGGCTCAGTTTTGGGGAAATGGTCCTTTTGTATCTTCTTTTTCCTAACCAAGTCTTTCTTGAAGTTAGTTGGATTCTAATTTTGCAATATAGCAAAGGTCATGACTGTGTGGTCTTTAGCCTGCCCTTCTCTGGGGCAGAAAGCTTTTGCCTAAGTATTTCCATGGAAATCATATACTAATCACATATATAATGTATTTGCTATGATGCCTCAAATTACAAGTGCTTATTTTAAAACCTTTATTAGTCTCCAAGCATTTTGATGAGCACTTGGTTGGACTGGGGAGGTGAGCATGTAGAGGTAGCTAAAATAGTGACAGAGAAATGGTTCCGCATTTCTTAAGGTGCCAACTATGATACTGGACACTGAAGCAGAGACAGGAAGCCATACAAAGGGACACAGGGAGTTTGAGTGGCATGCTAGTTGAGCACAGGATCAGTTTGCCAGGGGGATAATGCTCATTGTTACCAGAATAAAATAAAGCAAAGAAACCCTTTTGAAAGTATGCAGGCAACACTAGTGATGCTCTTCAAAGGAACAATGACAAATCAAGTCATTAAGGTAAAAGTAGAGAATATTTAAAATAAAAGTCTTCCTTACCCAAATAAATTAAAGTGCAAATTGTGCTTGCTGGTTTATCTTAGCGATATTTCACATGCTCTTGAGACAAGGACTCACCACGAAGTCGGGACTGTTTTTAAGCTTACTCCTCATGGCCTTTTAAGCTCAATAAAACATGCTTTTAAAAAAATAGTTCTAAGAATTGAACTCAGGGTTTTGTACATATCAGTTGGCCACTCTACCACAGAGCTACAGCCCCAGCTGATTGCTTTTGCATGCTTGATACAGCGGGCACATTATCAGTTTTACTGGAGAATTTGTACTAACAGTTCCACTACAGTGGATATCTGGGCTTTTTGTTTGTTTGGCTTTTTTTCTTCAGTGCCAGAATCTAGCATAGGTAGTAATTATCCTAAAAAGTATCCCTGGGAGGAAATGAGGGGAATGGAGAAACATGTATAGCTCAATAAAAACAATTTTAAAAAGTATCCCTAGGATACTTGGTGTGTTATATTTAGCAAACTAATATGCACTGGAATATTCAGGACTTTGTTCTCCTTTGCTATAGGACAAGCCTGGAGACTCTCATAAATCAAAGAAGAAGTCAAAGGACATTCACAGCCTGTCGGAGGACCCCGAGCCAGCTGGCTTTGTCTACCCATACAATGAGCTGCTGGTGTGGGCTGTGCTCATGAAGAGGCAGAAGATGGCCATGTTCTTCTGGCAGCACGGAGAGGAGACCACAGTCAAGGCAGTCATTGCTAGTATTCTCTATAGAGCCATGGCCCGGGAAGCTAAGGAGAGCAACATGGTGGATGATACCTCGGAGGAGCTGGAAAATTACTCAGAGTAGGTCTTCCCTCTTCATTTCACACCAAGCAGCAACACTTTATAGAAAGTGTAGACACTGCTTTCTCCTTCACTTTGCCATAGAATAAACAGATTTGATTAGAATTGTATACTTTAGTCAAGCATCCCCCAAGGAACAGAAGCAGGGTATTTATGGTAGGATCCTCAGTTTAAGGCCTTCAAACTGGGGGAGGCTGTTGCTGTTATAATTGTGGAATCTTCAGACTGCAGAACCTGGACTGCTGATGTCTAGGACGCACGACAGGTGTCTCACCTCTCAGGGGCAGAGTTCAGTTTACTTCCTGTACTGAACCTTTGTGGGTTCCTGGAGGACCAGGTGGTGGCCATCCAACTAGAAAAGGGATCTTCTTCGTGTAGCCCACTCAGACTCCCTGGAAACATGATCGCAGACACAGTGTGATACTGATTTCTAGGTATTTCTTGATCCTGCTCACCCAGCAGCCAATGCTGACTATCACACTCTACACTTCTTGCACTCTTGTAGTAAAGGGTTCCTGAAGATTTGCAGGAACTCTGTGGAATGAAGGAGAGAGGTAACCTTCCAGTGAGGAGCACTGAGTCCCAGGGGCAACTCTTTTTGCATTGTGTAGGTCAGCTGACTCGATTTTAGCCTTTAGTTCCTTAAGGAGAATTAATGATTTTTGAAACAAATCATGTAGAAAGCCCTTTGGTGCTCCAAAGTCTTCGATGTTCTTAACTTGGCTGCTTACCTTAGGTAAGGGTAACGAATACACACATTGTAGTAAAGAATCAGAAGGCAATTGGTGGGAATGAGAAAGAGGAGAATTGCTTCCTTTAATTGGATTACTGAAGTCCTTGGGTGGAGGGAAGCTCAGGGAATGATGGAAGTTAATCTATAGCTTGATTGACAGATTTAGAGAATTTCTGGAAAAGAAAGCCTCCTGGAATTTCCTGAGGGTTTCTGGGTCTAGATTCTTAAGTCCTTAAGGATTTTATAAAAATAATAGTAATAGAAATAGGAATATGGTGCCACAATGTTTCTTGGACACAGTGTTTCCAGTCAGAAATTCTCTCTGAAGTCATATCATGTAGATTCACCCACTCCAGGATGAATATAAGACATACACAGCATGGAATGGTTTCCGACACAAACATTAAATTCTACTTTGGGCTACCAGGAAAATAGGACACACTGTCTACCTTCCATACCAGAGACAGATCTGCTTCTGAGCAGCTGTGGTAACTTCTGACAGCTGAGATGAATTGGCTGTTTTTTTTTTTTTTTTTACATAGCCTTATTTTGTTTTGATCACATAGCCCAATAAACTGGTGTGTTCTGTGTAGCGTGGTCCATCTTTGAAGACATTTCTGGGGCTCTGACCGGCCTTTTGTGTTCTCTGTTCACCACTGTGTCTTCAGGCAGTTTGGCCAGCTTGCCCTGGATGTGTTAGAGAAGGCCTTCAAGCAGAACGAACCAATGGCAATGAAACTGTTGACCTACGAACTCAAGAACTGGAGCAATTTCACCTGCTTGAAACTGGCAGTGTCTGGAGGACTACGTCCCTTTGTGTCACATTCTTGCACCCAAATGCTGCTGACAGACATGTGGATGGGACGTCTGAAAATGAGGAAAAATTCCTGGCTGAAGGTATATTCTTTTTCTGTACGTCATATCATCAGTGTAGTGAGAAGGTCAGTGCTCCTGAGTTCCACATGGCTTGGTCCTCTGGCAAACAACACCTCCCTGCAGGTGCACGGATCATCTCATCCCTCAGGGATCTCTAAACAACTTTTCCACAGGGACTTTTCAAAACTTGATGATTGTACTGCCCTGCCACCACAGAGCCATTCTCCTGTGAAGACGATCAGAGTCCCAAGCAAAGAAAAGCGACACTTCTCTGTGCCAAATGACAGTGTCTGAGCATTCCACAGGGGTTGGGTGAATAGCTCACGTATAGAATGCTTGAACAGCATCCACAGGCCCTGGGTTTGGTCCCCAGTGCCACAAAATTAATAAATATGAATAGATAAGAAACTAGATAGAATTAGCAATTTTTACTGCATTCCTCCTCCAGTGTGTTGTTTCAGGGACTCCGTGGTTGTTTAATAAGGCTCTCCTCTAGCAAGTGATCACGCCATTCGCCACATCTAAATTAGCCTCTCCAGGTATCTAAAATCAAGGGCACCTAAATTCAATGCCCAAGATTTACGTTTACTGTGGAGCCTAAGCCTAAAGCTTTCCATTTGGTTAATCTCAAAGTGCATGTATTGATGAAGTCAATAGAAGGGGTTGTAGCTCAATGTTAAGAGCTACACAGGACTATATTTGGCATTTTAATTGTGTTCTTTTCACAATTATCAAATACATAGTATATCTTAAAAAGAATGGCTTTGATAAAAATATAAACATTTTTTAGTAGAAAAACTACAGAAATCTCAAGAAAATAATTATTGCATAAGATAGGAGAGGCTGTGTGTGTTTTAATTTCTGCCAATGAGATTAGAGAAATAAAATACCAGAGAAAAAGCCATCATTTCCCAAAGCTCTCCTTTGATCCACTTTGACTTCAGAGGTGAAAGTGACGAAACAGAGATGGGATGGGTCTGCCTCCACTTACCCAGCTCTCTGGAAGCAGCAGCTTGTAAATTCCTGGTCATAAGAAGGCTGCAGCTGGGAGCCTGAGGTAGCACACACATTAACTTCCAGAAATGCGGACCCTGGGAACTTAGTGGAGTTTTGTCTTTTAAATACTTCATAATGTGAGAGGGGCGTGTGTATGTGTGTGTGTGTGTGAGAGAGAGAGAGACAGAGAGACAGAGAGACAGAGACAGAGGCAGAGAAACAGAGAGAGACAGAGATTGGTTCAAGCAAGGCAAGTCTCAATGTTTCCCGCCAAACATGCATGCATTGGTTACTAGGCTAAGGCTGCTGACTGTATGAAGTCTCAAGCTCCACCAACCATTATTCTCAGGCACCAACAGTCCAGTTATCCACGCTGACCTGTGAGCTTCTGAAGCACATTTGCAAACAGTTTTGTAATCCATACTCCCAAGTAACAAGATTGCAGGAGCACCATGGAGAGCTATGGAATACTGATTTAAATCATGTAGTACATCAGCCTCCAACCTCTCCTTGGGAGTAGGATGTCTGCAGTTCTGGGCGGTGGAATGCTGCTTCTCCAGGGCAGTGGGATCGGAGGTCTTCCTGGAAGTAGAATTAACACGATGCTGTCACTGTGCGCCTGGCTATGGAGTTTTTACACTCAGAGGAGCAACATATTTGGGACAGAAATGATCATTGTGTTAGAACTAAAGCCTAGAGAATCTTCACAGACCACAGCTTACAACAGCTCAGAAGGTCATTTTGGCATGGGAAAGAAAGCAAGGTTGGCAAGCCTTTGACTTCACCTACTAAACCAGTAAGGCAGGCTAGCAGGTGAATTTAACTTTTGGACAGGGAACTCCAGGATACTGAGATATAATGCTAGTTGAAAGAAAGACAGAACATCCACCAAGTTAGATTTCACAAAATGTAGTCGGTATTTTAAACTGTTTATCTTGAAAGGCTGTAAAAATTGAACACAAAAATTCCTTTCAAAAGACTGTTAATGTGCAAAATGTGGTGGCCCAGTGAAGAATGCTTGAGCTGTTCCCTAGGTCTTCCTGGCAGATGACAGTTTATACACGATGGGAAGTGGATCTTCTATATTCTAAAAGTCTATGATATAGAAGCTAATATGTTTGTTTATATGGTAATTTCTATTTCTATTGTAGTCACTACAAAATAATACTATATATATATTTAATGTTTTAAAAAAAGAAAATAATTTTTTTCATTATATATACCAATTCAAGTTCCCACTCCTTCCCCTCCTCCCATTTCCTCCACATATCCTTCCATTCCACCTCCATCCAATCCTCAGAGAAGGTAAGGAACATTGCCTTGTGGAAGGTCCAAGGCCCTCCCTACTATATCTAGGCTGATCAAGGTATACATCCAAAGAGAACATGTTCCCAAAAAGCCAGTACAGGCAGTAGGGATAAATCCTGGAGTCACTGCCAGTGGCCCCTGTCTGCCCCAGCCATGTAATTGTTAGCCACATTCAGGGGGACTAGTTTGGCCCTATGCTTGTTCCTTCCCAGTCCAGCTGGAGTTGGTGAGCTCCCATTAGCTCAGGTAGACTGTTTCAGTGGGTGAACCCATCATGGTCTTGACCTCTTTGCTCATATTCTCCTCTCACTCTTCAACTGAACTTTGGGAGCTCATTCCAGTGCTCTGATGTGGGTCTCTGCCTCTGTTTCCATCAGTTGCTGGATAAAGGTTCTATGGTGATATTTAAGATAGTCATCAGTCTGACTACAGGGAAAGTCAATTTCTACCTTCCTGCTTAGGCGCAGGTATCCCGGGGAAACAAGTGTGATATATGTACTTTTAAACCTTTTTTTTTTCAAGACAGGGTTTCTCTCTGTAACCTTGGAACCTGTCCTGGAACTTATTCTGTAGACCAGACTGGCCTCAAACTCACAGAGATCTGCCTGTCTCTGCCTCCGGAGTGCTGGGAAGAAAGGCGTGTAGCACCAACGCCCAGCTGTATTTTTAAACTTTTAAGTTGGGACTGAAGAGATTGTACAGTGGTTAAGAGCACTGGCTGCCCCTTCTAGAAGACACAAATTTGATTTTCAGCACTGACATGGCTGCTCATGGCAGTCTATAGCTCCAGTTCCAAGGGGTCTGACACTCTCTTTTGGCCTCTGTGGGCATTGCATGTGCTGTTCACCATATTGAGCATAGATACACATGGAGGCAAACACCCATACACATAAAAAATTTTAAAAATCTTTGAAGTATATATATATATATATATTTACAATTTTTAATTTTACTCTTTCTAAAAATGATATTTAATGTTTTACATGTTTTTTAAAAATAGATTCATTGATTTTTACTTATATGTGTGAGAGTTTGCATTCACACATGTTTGTGTACCACATGCGTGCTTGGTGCCAACAGAGGCCAGAATAAAGGCATCAGATCTTCTGGAACTGGAGTTCTGTTATCAACTGTTATGAACTGACATGTACGTGCTGGGAACTGGACTGAGGTCCTGTGCAAGAGCAACCAGTGCTTTGGACCACGGAGACATCTTTCCAGCCCTTACATTTTCCTCCTTAATGTTAACATTGCATTCCACCATTAGGTTTTTCTATATTATCTGTCCGCATAGAACTGGATCTTGTTACTTGGTGAGTCTTTTTGTCCTCTGCTCATCCTTCGTCTCGTTTCCTTTGCAGATCATCATCAGTATCCTTTTACCACCCATGATTTTGACATTGGAATTTAAAAGCAAAGCTGAGATGTCACATGTCCCACAATCCCAGGATTTCCAGTTTACGTGGAATAACAGTGACCAGGATCTCAGTACCACCAAAGAAAATGCTTGTGCGGTGAGTACACTTCCGTAGTAAATTGGGTTTCCATGGTGTAACTGTGCACAGAGGTGCACAAGCATGGAGCTTATCTGTAACAGGCATCTGTTCAACAGAACGTTCGCCTTGTTACTGTTAACAGGGTATTTATTAACCCCACCCCCGGTACACACCTCTCTGTGTGTAGCTACATTTCCCAGAATGGCTTTGAGGTCCTGGCCAGTATTTCCATCCAGTGAAGTTACATATTACCCTGCGGCTACACATTACTCTAAAAGCCCAGGACTGATTCATCAATCAAGCATTTAATTCTCCCTGTGTAATCCCCATCTCGTTATATATGAGTTAGGTAGAGCATGTAAGCAAAGTATCCCATTTCTGCTCCAAAGACAAAGTCATTGTGTCCAACAGCTGTCTCAGCATTGCTCTGAGAGGGGCAGAACAGATCGGCTTACCACTTAAGGGCTCCATCAACACCGCCACACACTATGGTTCTCATCTGTAAAGAGACATTTAGAATTTGTGTTGATGGGCCTGAGAGAGTGGGTAAGGGTACTTGCTGCCAAGCCTGGCATCCTGAGTTCAAGCCCTGACCTCACATAGAGGAAGGCAAGGACTGACTCCGAGAGGTTGTCCTCTGACCTCCACACACACGCTGTAACACACGTGTACCTCCTAAACAAGTGGGACAAGATTTTTGTTGATCCTCTCATGTATCATCCTTCTCATCTAGTGGCTGTGAGTAGTTTCGCTTGGATTCTAGATGTGTGCTCTTCCCTGGTCTGACAGTCCCTTTTCCAGCAGCTGACTGTCACAGCCCGGGGTCCAGGATGCTGGGATTGCTCTCTCTGCTCCCACTCTGACCATGACTCATAAAGCTGCCCTTTGCCCCAAGGTGCGATAAATATCTTCAGTGTAAGGTAAACACATACACTGAATGAAGTGCCTTTAATATCTTGTCTGATGTGCTTTGGCATGTAATGACGTATTTATTTAAATATTATTTATTCTCCAAGTACTAAATATGAAGGTTAACTCTGATCAGTGTTTTTTGGCTAACAGTTTTTGGTGCCTGGTTGAGCATCTGCATTCTGATACCCTGGAGATATGCCTCTTCCCTGTCTTTAAGGACTTTAATTATTGCTCTTTTTTAGGTGTGTGTGTGTATATCCCCCTTTCTCCTTCCCTTCCTTCCTAGTTCCATCTTGAATACAGGAAGCCAAGAGCCTTCTACTGTCTGTAGAACACACAAGGAATCTCTTAAAAGCCTGGGCTAGTCACATGGTTACATTTGTGTTGGTCCCAGGTTCAAACCTAGCAAAGGGAAGAAGTTCACTGATGGCCCCACCCCTGGAGATGTCACACAGGTCTGGCGCAGAGGTGCTCTACTTGGGTGTATGCCTGTTTGATTGTACACTCCAAGTTTAGTTTGCTAGTTGAGGCTGAACAAGGAAGAAAGTTGTATAAGCCCCACCTACTTAGAATGTACACACAGCTCTCACAGGGCATAGGCAATAGTTTGTCAGTAGTATGGCAATCCCACTTTTGGCTCTCACGGATTTGGTAGAATGATGGAGTCATCACACTTGAAGGGTTTTGGAGAACTGGTGTATTTCTAGTGAAACTGTTCTCAAAGGGAACACAGTTCCTTCACAGAATTGCAGATAAATGTATGCTCTTAAAATTTAAATATATAATATATAATATATATATATATATGTGTGTGTGTGTGTGTGTGTGTGTGTGTATAGTAAGTTCTTGAGACCCCCTGACAAGTGTCCTGCCATAGCAGTTGTCTCCATAGGTTGTTTAGATGTGGCCATATCAATTGATTAATTCAGTGAATATTTAAGTTAAAGCAGATATGGTCTCCACCATGATGAGCTTATTATCAGAAAAATATCGATGAAACCTTAGCATTCTTCAATTTGAGACACTCAGTGAAAGGGCTGTTGAAGTGCATTCTATTAAGACTGGCTTGTGATCATAAAAAGTGGGTTTTGTTTTTACTCTATGTATTCATCTTAAGCAAAGATTACTAACTACACTTGTCTAGCAATTTTTGCTTGCAGGTGGAGGCTGCTTGTTCATTTCCCAGCCGCCTAGACCTAAAATAATCACACAGAATCTATAGTAATTGTAATGGCCAATGACTCTAGCATATTCCTAGCTAGCTTTTACATCTTAAATTAACCCATTTCTATTATTTTATATTTTACCATGAGGCTCATGGTTTACCAGTAAGAGTCCCTGTGGGTGGCTCACATCTTTCTCCTCCAGGGGCTACATGGCGTCTCACTCACTCTGCCTTCTTTCTCCCAGCATTCAGTTTTGTTTTCCTGCCTAGCTCTTTTCTGCCCTGTCATAGTTCCAAGTAGCTTCTTTATTCATTAGCCAATAAAAGCAACATATATACTAAAGGACTTCCCACATCACTTGCTCTCTCTCTCTCACAATTTTGATTTATTTTTACCTGGCAGATTTGGTAGGCTATATATGAATTCATAATGAATAATATGTAGAAGTAATTGATTAACAGGGGAACATGGTTTACATTGTGTATTGTGGGAGAAAGATGGAGGCAGCAATCAAAACAGATGTGGTTTAATGTGTCTTGTGGTAGTAAGTTTACAAGCAGGAAAGACCTTCTTGTTCCCACAGGGAGCTGGCGATGGATTATCAGATACTGCCTTTGCTCTGTGAGGTTTTAGTAAAACTCCCCCCACAACTCGCTATCTCTCTCTCTCTCTTTTGTGTGCATTTTGCCCTGTCTTGCTATATTTCCTAGAATGGAGTTTCTGGACTTAAGTGATATTCCCACCCCCCCATCTCAGCTTCATGAATAGCTAGAACTGCAAGGGTACACTTCCATGCTAAGCCAGAATTCTTTTTGGAAGTTTCCACAGGCAAAATAATTTTGTTAAAAGAAATTTAAGTTTTTTGATTGCTAATCTCTTTAAGCATGGCCTCTGTGGACTAAATTAGCCCAGGAATAAGCTGTATAAAGATACTGGAATGGAAAACTCTGGATGGAAGAGGAATGGTTGTTTTTAGTAGGGCCAGTGGGGGAGGATTAGGGATGGACAACATCTTCATGAAACTGTAGCTAGGTCACAGTGGCAGGAAGTGCTGAGGCAGAGGGTAAGCGTGGCAAGTGGGCAGTTTGGCTGGACTGGTGGCTGTGGAGAGTGCTGGACAAGCAGGGGGTGTTTGTAGGCATGGCTGGAAATGCAGAAGACTGATTGTGAGATTCTTGCGTGCTTCGTAAGAGAGCATCATTCTGTTTCACTCACCAGAGAAACAGTGAAGGCCAATGAGCAGAGTAGTGAGACAAGCTGCTACAGGAAAGTCACTGCCTTGACTGCACAGGATCATCTGACAAGAAGACAGACTAGAATCAGGGAGAACATAGACCAGCATGGCCATCAAGACCAGAAGGGACAAGGATGCCAGCCAGGATCTGTAACAAAAGATGCGGAAAGGAAAAGAGGGATTTTAAATAAATAATTGAACAGGAGGCATGGGCAAGAGAGAAATAGAGACAGCAAACCTGACTAAGAATTAATGGTTTGCTCAGGGATGTCACTGCCCACCGTGGGCTGAGCTTTATTAGCAGTTAATAAAGTGCCCTACAGAGATTCTCACAGGCCAGTTCTTCACTTGAGGGTTTCTTCTCTCAGATATGTCAGGTTGGTAGATGAGATTAGCTGTCTCAGCAAGAAGTAAAGATGGCAGACTGTGGTGGTGCATGCCTTTAATCCTGGCACTGGAGATGCAAAGGCATGGAGATCTCTGTGAGTTCCAAGACAGCTAGGGATATATAGTACGACCATGTCTTCAAAAGCTTGAGGGTGAGAGGGGATATAATTATTGCTGTTTATTATTCTTAGTGGTGGCAGAAGATCTGGGAATTGAACCCAGGACCTTACACAAATAACACATGAGTTTTACCACTTTGCAACACCCTCTAGTCTATAGCAGTATTGCTTATTTTTCAGAAAAACTATGATTTGGAAAGAGGCCCCGATGAGAAACTGGATGAAAATGTGCACTTCGACATCAGAAATGGGCCCCAGAGCCTCCCCTGGACAAGGAGAGTCTACGAGTTCTACAGCGCTCCCTTTGTGAAGTTTTGGTTTTACACGGTTTGTCTCATTACAGTAATGTTAATGATAATTAGTGGCTTACAATGATGTTACTAATGATATGTCTCATTTGTTAACCTGAAATAAAAATGTAAGAATTTCATTAAAAAACAAACAAAAGAAATGGGGGATAGGAAAGTAGGCAGGTGACAGGGTTGGAAGAAGACAAAAAAAGTCTCTGTCTCTCTCTTTCTCTCTGTGTGTGTGTGTAGACTTTAAGTTCTGAATGAGCAACACTTTTTTCTCAAAAGGAGCGATCCTTGATTGCTTTTCACCATTTTTTAAATGTCTATCTATCTATCATCTATCTATCTATCTATCTATCTATCCATCCATCCATCTACTATCTCTCTCTCTCTCTCTCTCTCTCTCTCTATCTCTCTATCATCTATCTACCTCTCTCTATCTACCTACCTACATCTATCTATCTATCTATCTATCCATCCATCTACTATCTATCTATCTATCTATCATCTATCTACCTCTCTCTATCTACCTACCTACATCTATCTATCTATCTATCTATCTATCTATCTATCTATCTATCTATCTATCTATCATCTATCTACCTACCTATATCTTCTATCCTTAGCGTCCAGAAGACAGTTCCAGATACCCTGGAACTTGAGTTACAGGCAGTTGTGAGCTGTGCTTGGATTAGTTGTTCACACAAGAGCAGTATGTGCTCTTAACTGCTGAGCCGTTTCTCCATCTCCCGAGCCAGATTAACACTTACTCATTATAAAATAACACTTTAGTGGTAGTAAATATCAGCTTACTGTGAAGATAAGCATCCACGGATACTGCTTATCTGGCAATCTTGGCATACATATTTTCCAAACCGAAACTAGAGGGAAGGCATGTGATTCTTTCCTGGTCTGCTACTAGCATGCCAGTGTGCACGCTGCAGGGGTTAGTGCTAGTAGGATAGCATCCCCTCTCTTTACTGGCAAACAGCGATTATCATTCATAGACCGTAGATACTTACGTTTTCCTTGACTTTGGGTCATCAAGGATCAGAAGTGAGTCGCCAGTTATATTTTCATATTGTCATGTAGAAATCTGATGCTTCTAGGCTCTGTCTGCAGAGCTCTGCTTGGCATTCTTTGTGGTCTCTTGAGCTCACATCCGGGGAATGTGTGTCCCTCACAGATGGCTTATCTGGCATTCCTCATGCTGTTCACTTACACAGTGTTGGTGGAGATGCAGCCCGAACCCATCGTGCAAGAGTGGTATGTCATCATTTACATCTTCACCAATGCCATCGAAAAGGTCAGAGAGGTGAGTGTGCCTTCTGTGTCTTCTCCATGCCCATGGAAGAGGAGTTCTAGGCCCTGGGGATGAAAATGGCCTTCTGTCAAGTGTGTGATGGAGAGAGAGAGAGTATACTGAATCCAATTTTGCTATAAGAAGGTTGCTCAGGGAAAATTTTCTGGTTTCATTCCTTTATCCTTACCAAATATTTCTGTTGAACTTTGAAAACAACCATTTTGAAGCACAATCTTTTTGTGCTTGTTACTCAAGGAGCAATAGGCAGCATCCTTTATTTGTTATTGAGCTCTCTGACTGCTTGTTTCCCATGATGCAGCTTTCTTTGTCACATGGATTTTTAATCACCTAGCCTTACCTCATATTGTCAGCTTTACCCAACAGAGTGACACATGAACGGCTAAAGTTGCATAATATGTAAGGAATCCACTCACAGTAGAAGGAAGTTCCTAGTCAACTCCCTTGAAAACTGAAGCTGGATATCCTTCTGGGAGAAGAAGACCAAGAGTTGAAGAAACTAAACATTTTCATTTCTACTTTGCCACTGGTCACTTAAAAGTTAGCCTTCTTCATGAAATTTTATATATAATTCCAAGTAGTTATGACTTTGACTCTCCCAGATGTGTGTGCATGTCTCTGTATGTCTATACATTTGTCTTGTTCCAGTGGTAATTTGGCCAACATTCTATGCTAAGTAAGCATCTTCTTAGAAGCTAGACTGCATTGCCTGCTAAGGATCTTTATAGTCAAGAAACACTAACTGAATTCTACTATGATTTTTGTTTTAGGGAAAACAAGCTTAGTGTTTACATTGCAGCGTGTCTGCTATAGTAGTGCATGGGAAGTGTCTTATTCTCGTGAGTCCCAACACCATGTTCTTAGTGATTTGCCAAGAACTCACTTAGTAGCAGCTGCAGGAGCTCACACGACTGCTGGGTTTCCAGTCACAATTCTTTGTCCTCAGCTCATGAAGCCAAAGGATGGATAGGCAGAGCCATGGCAGTGCTGAGCTCTGAAATGGTCTGGTGTTGATGTAAAATTTGGTAGGAATTGTTTTACTCTTTAAATGATGGGTTAATGAATTTAAAAAGATGCTATTGATGGTATTCCCCTCCAGCAATGGTTTTGGGGCTTGAACCCAGGGTCTTTTGTGTCAGAGACGAGTGCTGTACCACTCTCCTCCACCACCAGTCCAGCACCCTTCTTTAAAATTTCTTCTTTCTCCATTTAGATATGCATTTCAGAACCAAGCAAGTTTACTCAAAAGGTGAAGATGTGGTTGAGCGAATACTGGAACCTAATAGAAGCTGTGGCTATTGTCCTGTTTTTAGTGGGTTTTGGCCTACGGTGGGGAAGCCCCCCTTTACACACTGTAGGAAGACTCATCTACTGCCTAGACATCATATTCTGGTTCTCTCGGCTCATGGACTTCTTCGCTGTGAATCAACATGCAGGTCCATATGTGACTATGGTTGCAAAAATGGTATGCACATCATGTTTTATACAGAAATGTCCCTTTTCGGTGGCTCCACCATTGTGGTTCATAGCTCACCCTTTAACTTTCTCTCTTGTGATGTATGCAAGCATACACATGTATGTTTGTGGGTGTCCTCACCCATGTTTGCGTGTGTAGAGGGTGGACATCAGTGTCGAGTGTCTTCCACCATTGCACTTGTCCTAGTTGTCTTTCTGTTGCTGTGAAGTGACAGCGTGACCAAGGCAGCTTAGAAAATAAAGAGCTTGATTTGGGGCCTCATGCTTCCAGAGGACTAGTGTCCTCTGGCATGGCACCAGAGCAGTAGCTCAAAGCTCACATCTGATCCAGGAGCACCCGATAGACAGAAAGTTAACTATGATATGGGTTTTGAAACTCCAAAGCCCACCCCAATGGCACACCACCATCAAGGCCACACCTCCTAATCCTTCCCAAACAGTCCCACCAACTGGGGACCAAACATTCAGATCTATGAGCCTATAGGGGATCTTCCCATTCAAACCACCATAGCTCTCATCTTAGCTTTTGAAACAGACACTACTTAACGAACTTGAAGCTCACTGTTTAATTCAGACTGGCTGGCTAGTGAATTCCCAGGATCCATACTATGCCTGGTTTTTATATGCTTTCTCAGAATCCCCTCTCAGGTCCAGCAAGCATTTTAACACTGAGCCGTCTCCCTAGCTCACTAGTCAAATGTTTGAATTGTTCCAAGAGGCATACCGACTCATATCTGGCTAACCATAAACTTGTATATAAAATGGGCCTGGAGAGCGCCTTGGGTAGTTAATAGGAAAACTTAGTTTAGCCTTTTGTGAGGATTGCCAATATGAGATTGAGTCACATTAGTCTTTGATTTGTGCAAGGCCACCACCATGAATGTTTCTCGGAAAGTGCTGATTTATTCTTTTGTCACTCACTATCTTACTTCTAAGTAGTGCCACTGTGTACCACACACACACGGTGCCAGGTATTCTGTATATATTAACTCACTATGTTTGTAGCAACTTAATGAAATAAGTAGAATTATCTATTTTTATACGAGGAAATGTACATTAAGTAAATCCCCCATGAGCATATGTGGGGATCCAAGCTCCCAAAACGGGTAGCTTGGCTCTAGTCTATGCACTGAGCGTGTTGAACAATGTGCCAGGTTTTGCCATCTGGCAATTTGAAAGTACCCAAAGATCTACCGCCTAGGCATACAGTATCAAGATTATATTGTATTTGCTTCTAGAATACAAGGAAGGTATTATTCTGGAGGGTGAGGGGAAAACAGAAATAAAGGAATACAGAGGGAGAAGGCCCTGAAGAGCCTCCAGATGGAGCTCATTGCTTCTGCTTCCATCTCTCTCCCCTTCTTAGCTTTTTCCTCCTCTTCTCATCTTTTTCCTTTTGGTTGGAGTGGGGATTGAACCTAGGTCCTCATGCATGAGAGGCAGACACTGTACTGCCAAGACCCAGCCCAGCCTTCAGAGTTTCTTCTTCACCACTTTTCTCTTAGACCATAAACACATCCTTTGATTTTGCTAAGGCCACATTTGTTAGAGGAGTTATATGAGATAAAAGTACATCTCAGTGATGTGGCACAAGGTCTCTTCTCCCCAAAACCAGCTTTGATGGGTCTTCCAAGTGCTGACTCCAAGATATAGAATTTCATCTTCGTGTGGCATAGCCATGCCACCTCACCTCTTCCAGGGTCTCCTTTGCCAGCCACAGTTCAGCATTATGTAAAAGCTTGGGCAAAGCCACTGGTGTCACTCTCCAGACTCTTGGCTACTTAAATCTTTTGTCACTACTGAGTAAGATAAGAAATGTGGAGAAAGTGGAAATGTTGGTGACTTCCGGGTCTGCCACACTGAACAAGTGGGTCGAGTTGGTGTATTTTACAAGGTGGAGGGAAACCGGGGTAATCAATACCAAAGATATTACATGGTTCTAGGGGCTCTGGGAGATAATTCTAACAACAGTTATTGGAATAGTTTTAATATGTTTTATCCTTTAAAAATATTTTCTAACTAAGTCTTTGATTTAATTGGTCAAAAGTTGGGTGCTAGCCAGCCAAAAACAGTTGATATTTGATGGCTGCTTCTACAAAATCTTTATTTGTAATTTCTGTGCATCATGTGACTCCACAGATGTCACTGACCTAAAACACATATTGTGTAGGGAAAAGAAAATAACTTAGCCAGTTATTTTTGGATAGAGGGTTTTAGCCACTGGCTAGACTATGTAGCCATCTCTAGGTGTACAATGACAACCTTGGGGGCTTGATGTGTGGTAAATTCTGGTTGTGCTGTGCTGTTTTGCAGGCAGCAAACATGTTCTACATTGTGATCATGATGGCCATTGTCCTGCTGAGCTTTGGCGTGGCGCGCAAAGCCATCCTCTCACCAAATGAGCCTCCTTCATGGCGCCTGGCTCGCGATATTGTTTTCGAGCCATACTGGATGATGTATGGAGAAGTCTATGCTTCAGATATAGATGGTACATTTGGGGTTTGCCCTCATGCAGAATCAGAACCCCTGTAGATACTGAGAGAAAGATGTACCCGGAAAGTATCCACAAGAATCTTTTCAATGTGGAAAGTGTGTGGCATTCTGTGGAGTTGAGGGGCCAAATATTTGCAGAGGGTTCCAGGGCTGTGATTCGTCTTACCCCACTCTTGAATCCTTTGTTTTTAGTTTGTGAAAGTGACCCTTCTTGCCCTCCGGGTTCTTTCCTGACTCCGTTCCTGCAAGCTGTCTACCTCTTTGTTCAGTACATCATCATGGTGAACCTGCTGATTGCCTGCTTCAAGTAGGTGACTTTCATCAACTGTGGTCATTTTGTTTACCAAAATATGAGAGCAGATATGTTGAATATGTTCTAATAGATATTGAGTATATGATCTTCTTATGTGTGTCCCATGCTATATTACTATGGCTTTAAAGCAAGGGGATGGAATTATTGGTAGAAGAGAAGTTGAACTCTTAGATCATAAAAGAGTGCAGTCATAAGTGATGTGTGGGCGAGGAGATCGGAGCCATCACTGTGTAGGTGGAGTCTTGTAGAATGAAGGTTGGAGCTGATGGCTCACCCAGGGTTCTTTGTGTGCTCTTCCCACAAGGCCCCCGTCTGTTCCGCTTCCTTTCTTCTCTCTCACAGTTCTTCCTTTCTGGCTCAACCTCTCCATGTCATACTAAAAAGTCTTGGGCATAGACCTTGGGCCTTTTCCTTTTTGTATTGTGCTTTTTTATGTCCATGTTCAGTTTCCCGGATATTTGGGAAATCCCATTTCCATGTTCAGTTTTGCTGACACTCCAGGCTCATCAACCCACGGTCCCCCCAGTGACAAACTCTTGAACTCCCCTCTTTCCCAACATAGACTGATTCCATTCCCAGTCTTTCCAAAATCTATAGGGAAAAAGAAGAGCTTCCCTGGGAAGTCCAACCCACAGTTTTTTCCCGCCCGGCTGCTCCTCTCATCCTCCTTCTTTTCCTTTCTCTGCATTCTTCCTCCTCTCCTGCCTTTATTCCCCTTCTCTTCCCCGACTCCCTATACAAACAACAACACTCTGAGGAGCAAGCTAGTGCAATGATTCCAGATCTGACGACTTATTTATCTGGGGGAACACTTTAAGACAGAGTTCTTACTATTAATGACCCTGAGATACTTTGTGATTGATGGACAGGCTGAAGTCACCTGTGAATTGAAGACCTAATTGGGACCAGCCTTGAGGGTTTGCAGAACTGCAGGTTAATGATCTCTCACAGTTTCCCATGCCATAGTGTTGAGACAGAGGCCAAGGATGTGCTTGGTCTCAAGTGCTCAGGTGATGCTGAGTCCAAAAATGTCCACGTCAGGTGGAACCAGGAGAGTCTGTTAAAGGGACCCAAGAATTTATTCAGGTATAGGACAGGGACAAACGCTCACTGATACAGAACCAATTAGATGCTGCTGCTGATCCAACTGCCTTCATCCAGTCGTTCTGTCCAGGGGTGAAGAGCACCAACTGCATGCCGTCTCTCCATCTCTCTGCTCAGACCACACAAGAGAACATGAGAGCAAGAGAGAGTGCGCAACCCTCTTTTCCAGTTTTTTAAAAAATTTTTTAAAGAAAGCAAACCTTTTATTAGTTTCTTTTAAAACTGACTTAATTTAAGAGAAAATCCAGAGTGCCCACCAGTAGAGACTACCTTCACTGTGAAGCTAACGTGAATAATTCATCAAGTTCCCGTTGGAAGCTCTGGGAAGCTTATTTAAGGAGTTCCTTCTTTTTTATGTCTTCTTCATCCATATGATTCTGTTGCAATGCTTCAGTTAGAACAAGTCTTGCATGTCTTGCTTCTGGCAGGCGAGGGATATTTTTTATAAAGGCAGTAACGCAGAGGAACATCACACTTGTTTGCAATGAGCTATGTTATAGAAAAGAGCTTCAGAGAAGCAAAAGTGTCCAGCAGACAGGGCTGAGTGAGACGGGGCAGTTTGTTCCCCGCTTAAAATGCTGTCATTTTTCTAATCTCTGATTTCAATGTCTGCATTTTGCTCATTGTTCCAGTTAATGTACTTTGTTCTAAAAAGTGCTTATTCTATTTTATTTGATGGAAGAAAAATCGTAAGCGAATAATAGTTATTGGCTACCTGCTGATGATTGCTAACCAATCAGAAGAGTTGGGAGGTAGAGTCTGTCGCATTTCAGGGTCCCATATTAAAACGTTGTCTCTCGCCCTTTCTACAACCTGCAGCAACATTTACTTAGATATAAAATCCATCTCGAATAAAGTCTGGAAATACAATCGCTATCGCTACATCATGACCTACCACCAGAAGCCCTGGCTGCCCCCACCCTTCATCCTGCTGAACCACATGTGCCTGCTCCTCCGAGGTCTCTGCTGTCACCCAGGGCCACAGGACCAGGAAGAGGGTGATGTAGGCCTAAGTAAGTTTCTCCGGTGGGGCAGAAGGGATGAGGAAATAAAGGGCAGAGACCCAGGAACTCAAGGAGGGAGGAGGTAAATGCTGGAGACCTGGGTGTTGACAGTTTCAGTGAGGACGTGGCATAAAGGCTCTCATGGGACACTGACTGCAGACCCTTGCCTTTGCCTGGGATCTCAGGATTGTTGTTGCTTCTGTTAAATGGTACCCGGAAGAAGAGAAGCAGAGGAGACAGTGTCTTTGACTGAATGGGAGAAGGCTTTACACCTTCTAGAAAACCCGGGCTTTCTCTGCTGACCAGGGAACTCCTCTGAACATCTCTTATGGGGTAATCACCTGACCTGTTCTTATTGCTCTGTTGAGTAAAAAGGTGACTCCGAAGGTCTGGGATTCAGGGAAACAGAGAAGCAAGCTTCTCCAGAATCACAGCTCTGGTTCCCTAAGCTCCCAAGAATGAATGCGGGTCCTAAAGGAGGTTTCTTATTTTCAGAATATCAACATGAAGTGCAGGGATATAGAAATGCGTGTTCTCATTTGGCTTTGTTTAAATCAGGATGCTTATATTTTTTCCCCCGGGTGTGACCATGGAAATGTAGGTCTATAAAAGGGTGCCTATTACTAACAAATCACAGACATTTATTTAAGAACAACCCTGGGGGGAGTGTGTAGAGATGATGCAATGGGTAAGAGAACTGACTGTTCTCAGAGGACTTGAGCATGAGTCGCAGGACCCCATGGCAGCTTACAACTGTCTGTAACTCCAGTTCTAAGGGATCTAACTCCCCCTTCTGGCCTCCATAGGCACTGCATACATGTGATACACACAAGAGGCAAAATACCCATACACATTAAAATTTAAAAATCCTTGGGTAGCCTTTTATTAAAGGCAAAGCTAATAATTTACATAAGAATGAGGTGGATATGCTTGTTTTTTACACAATTTAATGTTGACTATTGATACTTAGCGGTGTAGAGCTTCTTCGGTGTTTATGGATATTTTGATTTTATAATTGTCCGTTTTAAGAATCCCTTTGCCTAAATACACAGACAGTTCCAGTGTGTTGTGTGATTCTTTTGAAACTCAAGTCAGCAACTTAGATAGCAGATTTTAAAATCACACAAGATACTTCTAAGAGATATTATTTCAGTATTTGTCTGCTGGGGGAAATTACAATTGTTTGCTGTTTTGATAATTAAGCAATCATGTTTGTCTATGAGCAGACAATTCTGTCCTTACATCACAGTTCACTGTGTTTCTCACCTGCAGTTGTGTGCAACTGGGGTGTTTTCTGCAGTGTTCACTGGAACTGTCTGCTGTGCTGATAGATGCTGTCCAGTACTAGAGCGATACAGCACCTGAACTCTGCCACACACACCTGAATATATGGCACCTGAGCTCTGACACACACACCTGAATATACAGCACCTGAACTCTGCCGTACACACCTGATGATACAGCGAACACTGCCGTACACACCTGATGATACAGCGAACACTGCCGTACACCACTGGATTCATCAGTTTGACTTTGAGTTAGATGTTAGTTGTTGCATGCTCACAAACCTTTTATTCTTGTTAGTTTTTTTTTTTTGTCATCCTCACACTCAGTTATGTGAGCTGTGACCCGGCTGAGGTGTGCAGAGTCCAGATCACAAGCTTGTGTGCTTTGACAACTCCCAGTTCATCCTGACTGTGGGATCCACCCGCCACTCCTGCCTGCCACATGAGAGCTTCACTTCTTCTTCTCACAAGTTGTGTTTCTATCAAGCAGTAACATGATGGGCGCCAGGCCCTTTTCTAGATCATTCCTATATATATAGGACATGACAAAGTCACATTTCTTTATCCCAAATATTTAATTCAAATACTTCCGAGGGCTTGTCTCCAAGCCTGTCAATTTGAGTTCTTCCCTGGACTCATGCGGTGGGAAGAGGAAATCAGCTTCACTGCTAATCTTCTGACTTCCACACATATACCGTGGTATGCTCGTATGTATGCGTGCATACACACATGTAAACTGACAGCCTTTTAGTCCTCTGAACCAGGAAAGGGCTCTTTTGGCCAAAAGTGGCCCAGAAACAGGAGCTGGGGCAAAAGCCGCTTACTTTTTCACTCCATGTAGTTCGACTATCCAAGCATTTTCCTGTAGGTTTTGGAAGTAGAAAAACTTTGTGAGCTCCGAGATACTACTGATTCCAGAAGTCTCGGAAAGGGTCTAGTGCCCTATTTACACGGTCTTAAGGACCCCATTATCTTCTGCCATGTGTTGTCATGGGATTGGAAGGACAGTGAGTGTTTGCTTGTAGCACATGGCCCTCTGAATGGCTTTCTCTCTGTTTGAAGAGTTATGTTGCTCTTATTTCTTCTCAAGTGACCTGGCCATTAGAAGGAAGCCAAGAACAGACCCCTAGTAGCTTGTCGTCCCAGCACTGGAGGTGAGGGGTGGGGGATGAGTCAGGAGGGTCTTGAATCATGGCCGGCCTGGGCTGCAGGGCAAGATACTATCTCAAAACACCAAAATAACAAGAAAACAGACAAATATAAAGGCACAACTGAATTTAAGCTAGCGGCACATGTTTTGAAATTTCAATTTTTGGTAGAGAGCTGAACCTGGCTCTCCCTGGGTAGCTACAATGACCCCAGTACAGGGTGAGACCCCAGGAAAGATTCTAGGGCTAGCTAGGATTGACCAATCCCTGTAGAGGAGCCTTTCTTGGGCTTATAGGGTGGTATCCACAGAAGACTCATTTTTTTTAAATCATTTATTTATTTATTTGTTATATGTGTATGTATTTTGAGTGTACATCTATCTGTGTACTATTTGAGTGTCTGACTCAGTTTTTGCTTCATGGCAAGTTCACTCAGCACTAGAACATGTAGAGCAAGCTGACTTTATGGGCTAGGAGTGCCACCTCGTGGATAATTTTAGGTACTGACTGCATACACTAAGGTGTGCCTGTTGCTGGACATGCTGTTGGGAGTTTGAGGAAGCAGGTGTTGGGAGAGAAGTTGGGGTAGGGAGTTCGCAGCTGGTGTATATGGGGGGGGCAGGAGTAGGGGATTCGCTGCTGGTGTATATGGGGGGGGCAGGAGTAGGGGATTCACTGCTGGTGTATATCCTGGGCATGAAAAACTTCATACTTATAGGACATCAGAGATGGGGACTGTGGGAAACGGTCATTTTTTTTTTTTAATGTCTAAAGGATTCTTCTACACCATATAAAGCACAAAATAATGTGTGCTTTAGTTGTGAGCACATTTTTTTATAGCTAAACACATTTTCAATTTGAAACTAATACATTTTTGCTCATTTAATTGGAAAATAAGTAACCTGTTGCTTTATTAATAAATTATGGAGAAAGGTAATATTTAATTTTCTTCTGACTTAAGACGCGAAAGAACTTTCCAGTTTTATCTTCTTAGGAACATCTCAGCCTCTTGATATTTCCCAAGTTTTAGGAACACATTTTTTAAAATTTTTTTTAAATTTTTTTTGAATTTTCGAGACAGGGTTTCTCCGTAGCTTTTTGGTTCCTGTCCTGGAACTAGCTCTTTTAGACCAGGCTGGCCTCAAACTCACAGAGATCCACCTGCTTCTGCCTCCCGAGTGCTGGGATTAAAGGCGTGCGCCACCACTGCCCGGCTAGGAACACAGTTAAAGGTGATTTCTGGTCTCATTCCCTGAGAACCAAGGCGGTGTATAAGCAAGCCTGCTGAGGCTGGAGGAAGGACGGGGCCTCAGCACCACAGGGTGAGCGGTCCTTTCATGAATTAATTACTTCAGGGAAGGGGTGCTGTGCTGACTGGCCTTGGCTGGTAGTTCTCAGGAGGGGGACTTTGTCCATCCGTGCACAGCCTGACAAGGCAAGACTTTCTCCCAGAGGCTGTAGCAGCATCCGCAGACTCTGCCCTCTTACTGTAGATCACTTACTGTCATATTAGTAGCTAGAGCAGTTGACGGAGGAAAAGGACAATGACATTCTTTCTCCGGGTGTATATGAATATAGAGATCTTTGGCTAACGCACGAGAACATTGCGAGCTATGAAAATATTGAAACAAAAGCGTCAGTCTGTGCACATGTTGGTCTTTTTCAAAGAAGAAGGAAGAGGGCGCGGTGTAGCATTCTTAGGTGTTTGCACGTCCCGCTTTTCCCAGAGCGCAGCGGAACAGCTGGGGATGTCCGTCTCAGAAGCTACCGCTTCATGTCTTCAGTACACGTGAAAGAAAAGGCTTTCACACTTACGACATGGTTATCACACAACACCCGAGACTAGGTGCTTAGGAAAGAAAAGAGGTTTCTATTTGATCTTTGAATAGTCAAGGTTTAGCCGAAAATACTCTTGCACTTAATTTTGCTTTTGAACATTTGCAATATTAAAAATAAACTTAGAAGACCTTGCTGGGTACTGTGACACACACCTGTAAACCCAGACCCGGGGAGGTGGAGGAAAGGGTGTCTGCGGGTTTGATGTTAGCCTGAGCTACATAGGAAGACTGTTTCATTAAAAACACACGATCAAACAATTTAAAACAAAAACTCTCAAGTACTAATTCTATAGCATGGAAATTTGAGAAAAATTAAGAGAAAAGGGGCCCGAGTGACAGTTCAGCCTATGACGTGGTTTCCATGCAGACGTGAGGGCCTGAGTGCAGTTCTCAGAACCCACGTGACTTGACCTGCTCTGGGGGATACCTTCTTTTAATCCCCGCACTGGGGAGGCAGACACAGGCATTTCCCTTGGCCTCTTGCCATTCAGTCCAGACAAAATGTTCCATGTCAGTGAGGGACCTTGATTTCAGAAACACAACCGGAGGGTTGACCTCTGACCTCCACATGTAGGTGCCCACATGTGCCTTCCTGTGTGTTTATCTTCCCTATAAACACACAGGCACAGAAACATTCACAGGAAAAGGTATGAGTACCTAGAATGCATACAGAGACAATAATGTATTTTGTCACATTTTACCAAAAAATGAAGAAAAACTATGATCACAGAGCATCAGTAGTACCACGTGTACAAGAACAATGCAAACAAAGACACAGTATCAAACTGCAGCTGTGTTATACTAACTGGAGCAGTGATGTGACCTTCACAGCTACCTTCTGCTGTCCCCTCGGTGATCTAAAGTTCATCTGCTGAAGACCCTGTGTGATGCTCATCACGGTGTGAGCAGCTGATCTGCTCCCCCAGTGCTGGGGTGAAAAGAATTCACCTCCGCACAAAGTCATTTTGTGTAGGTTCTGGGACTCAAACTCAGGGGCTCCAGCCTGCATGGCAAGTATAGCTGGAGACTCAGCTATTCCTCCACCCCTCTTCTTAATGGAAAGTTAAAAAGTGATTTCTCACAATTTCTCCATATATAACACATATATCATGGAAAGACATCTGGATCGCCTATGTTATTACTATAGTGTCCGGCCAATGTAGATGGTTGGGAAACCAAATTGTATCTGCATGTTTTTGACCTCAAGCTCATCAGCACCCGTAGCTCCATCATTCAAGGATTTGGAGGCGGAAGTTCCAAGGTTGCCATCTACTTCTGGCTAGCTTCTAGTGATGGTCTTCTAGTCACATCATAACGTAGTGGACAGGCTCTTGTAGGGAAGGGGAGTGAGGGGGGGGAAGGAGCCAGAAGGGGCGTGGGGAGCCCTGCATGGAGGGATGTGAGGCAGGAAAGCAGGAGATCTGGGAAAGGCTGGCTGATGTGACCAGCCCATCCTTCTATTCCGGAGGCGGTCCCCATGATCTGCTTATCGCCCAACGTCCCACCCTTTCAGCGGCACCAGTGGACCAAGCTTCTGGCACATGAGCCACTAGGGACACAATCCACATCTGTGAACGGCACACTGTGTGTAGCTCCCCAGGAGCGGTCCTTTATCTGTGTCCTGCTTATCTCCACAGAGCTCTACCTCACCGAGGAAGACCTGAAAAAGCTTTATGATTTTGAGGAACAGTGTGTGGAAAAATATTTCCATGAGAAGACGAAAGGGCTGAACTGTAGTTTTGAGGAACAAATCCGAGTGACATCAGAACGGTAAAGTACCGCTTTCCCATTCCAAAGCTGCTACCAAATCATGATTGTTCTAGAATGTCTAAAAGTATTCCTTTTGAAAGGCTCACTTTCAAACCCCAGAGGTCAGAGGCCTGCACAATTTAAAGCATGCATCGCAATATGATTTATACAAGCAGTATCTGTTTATTGGATTACTGTGTTCTGAACAGTCTTCCATTTTCAAGAGATCAGTGGAGATGGGAGACAAGGGTCCCAGTCTGATTTACTTTCCAGTGTTTACATGTGGAGGGGTCAAGGGAAACGAAGGAGTTGAAAACACCAGATAATCAAGGAGGCAGACCGAGAAAACATAGTGTCGGTCAGTAATAAAAGCCATGAAGAACTGGGCATAACGGCGCACACCTTTAATCCCAGCACTGGAGAGGTGGAGGCAGGCGGATCTCTGTGAGACTGAGACCAGCCTGGTCTACAGAGCGAGTTCCAGGACAGCCAAACAAAACAATAAAATAAAAAGCTGTGAAGAAGATGAGGTAGTTTAAGGATAAAGGAAAGATGAAGAAGAGAGAACTTGCAGCCTGGGCTTTGGATCTTTCTGCTTCACAAAACTCGGTCCAGAGAGGTTGCTGGGAGGAGTTTGGAGAGGAGAGGTCTCAAGGAGGTAGCCAGCAGCGCCTCATGGTGGAGTGACATAGTCAGAGAAGTGACACCCACTGTCTCTGCAGGTCATATGCTGGTCCAGCAGCAGCTGCAGACCCCAGCAGGGGCAGGGCAGTGGCTGACTGCCAGGGTGGATTTCTGTAGCAGGCCCTGGTCAGCATTTGCTGGTGGTGTGGCTGGAGACAACCTCACTGCCAAGGAGGGAGAACAGGAGGGGTTGAGCCAGCAAGCACAGTAGCTTAGGTGAGCAAGTTGACTGCGAAGGGAAAAAAAGATGGGGCGTGGGGGCACGGTGAGCTGCCTTTGTTATCTATGGAAATGACAGAATAAATGTGTGTGGTTCTGAAAGTGATCTTGCCTGGGTTTTTAGACTATGGGCAGTGGACAAGCCTGCGGGGGTACAGCAGTGAGCACTCAGGTGCTTGCCTCGAAGCTGTGGCTGAGGGGGCTTGTGGTTTTTGAACTTTCTGGAAGGGGGGAGGGGTAGGAAGGCCATTTAGAGCTTTGAGTGATGACAGATGTGTTGGAGAGAGGGGATGTATTAGGAAACCTAGTGGATGTGTTATTAGAAGAATTGCATGCGTACGGCATTGTGTTAAAGTGTGGAAGGGTGCACATGATTTTATGGACTTTTAAAAACGGAATTGTTCTTGCAAGTAGAAGCAAATTGACACAAGTTAAATATATCCCTTCAGTTTTGAATATACATGAGACTGACTATAGAATGTTTAATCTAATTATATGTGTTTTTTTCTGATGCCCACCCCCAAATCACATAGATAGATGTGACTTCTTAGGCACAGCTTCACTTAAAATAAACGTACACCAGGAACTTTCCAAATGGCTTACAGTAGGCATGTCATATTTATGTAATCCTATATTTTTCTATTGATAATATGTTTATATAAAGATGTCTTTATGCAGCTGGTTGAACTTCAGATTAAACTTAATGCTGAGAAATTGTTGACTATCAAATGATGATTGTGGACCCATAAAGTTAAAATTCACCTCAATAATCTCCTTAGACCATAGCCATGCGAACCTTCTCTCTCCTTATTCTGCATAGTCTCTCTGGACAGCTGTGTTTCTGCTGGGCTTTGTGCTTTGTGTGATGTGTCGGCTCTTAGGAGCTGGCAGAGCCAAGACACAGCTCTGCTTCTGCTCCTGTAACTCTATGTTCTTAGAGAAGTGTGCCAAACTGCTTTGAACATTAGTTTTCTTACTTGTGACATAGATGAGAACATAGGCCAATGTCTTAGAACTGTGTAGATCAGCCTGGGCTAAAGGGAGGGGCCAGGCATAGGTGGGTAGAAAGATACAACACCACTTAGTTGGGAAAATAGATCACAAATTAGGAGTAAAAATAATTTTTTTTGAAATACTGTATTTGTTACTTCTCATTGCGGTGATGAAACCCCTGACAAGAAGCAAGAGAGGAAGGACTTATTTCTGCTCCAAGTTTGAGGGTTTTAATACATCACAGAAGAGGAAACGTGGCAGCTGGGGAGCAAGACACCTAGTCCCACAGAATCCACAGTCAGGAAGCAGAGAGAGAGATGAATGCTGGTGTTTAGTTTGGTTTCTCCTTTTTAGTTTGGTCTGGGACCTCTGCCCATGGGATGGTACCACCCACATTCATAATAGATTTTCTATAGTTAGAACTCTCTGGAAACAGTCTCAAAGGTAAACTCAGGGATATGTTTCCAAAGTGATTCTAAATCCTGTCAAATTGATTGTCATAAATACAAATTCCCCTTTAAGACCTGGAGGGAGATAAAACGAGGTCAGAGCGGCTTCTGCTGAGATTATGAATACAGGCAAGGTCGGGGAGGACCCCTCGCTCTACCTATGCTAAGGAAGGAGTCTACACACGCTGTGGCATGTGAAGGCTTGTGAGCCTGCGAGATTCGAATGTGAATTCGACAGGTCAGCTGGGGACCAGGGATGCCAGGTGAGAGAGGGTGTGTAGCACAGGCTGTGGCAGGGGGGTGGAACAAAGGAATAATTCATGAATAGGAGGGATTAGTTGGAATTAAGGGCAGAATGGAGCTTCAGATCCCAACAGTGATCAGGAAACAGTGGCACCATTTGGAGACAGTGTACAAACGTGTGGGAGAGCAACAGAGCTCGTATTTCTTGACCATGGGATTCCCGGGACACAGTTAGCCACAGATGTCCACGAGGCTGGGGACGGGGGTCTGATGGCAGTCCCAGCAGAGAATGTGACAGAGAAGTAGAATGAAGGCAGCACGTGCCAGGGAGGTGTAGAGCCGGCATCTGTAAACCCGGCAGAAGAGGGACTTATGGAGAAGACTGGAAAGGCAAGCCGCAAGGGGGTGCAAGAGGTGTTCACGGTGAGGGGGGGTAGCAATCAGAAGTCAAGGAATGCTGAGTGTGAACTTGGGCACCAAAGATTACAGCAGGTGCCCCAGTGGTGATGGTCCGAAGACCTTTAGTCCTGCAACCCTCACACCCCATCTTTCTTGAACTTGAGAACCTAAGAACCCAAGGGAGTTAGAAACAAGAACGTCAGTGGTGAAGTCCAAATACGTTCAGTCCCCCAACCCTTTTGTGACACTTCAGTTCTCTTAGACTGGTGGGGAGGACAGATGTTACGTGATTATATGACTCCTGAGAAAAACATGGACGCTCCTAAGGGGTTTTGGACTTGGTTCTGAATTTCTAATAGAATTTCTTCCAATGATCGCATGCTTTCTAACTAGCATGATCCCGAATCGCAATGATTTTATATCACCATCTTTGTTGAGGCTGTTTTGGGGTAGCTCATAAATGAGGGGTACTAGGGAAGTAAATGAGCAATGGTTTTAAGAGATAAGGAGATCTTAGACGCCATTGCATGTTTGCTACCTCCAAAGGGGGCGTTAACCATCTACCTTCTAGAAGGAAATGACTTTGGGTGTGGACAGAGGGCAAGCACTAAGGCCCTTAGGTATTGAGTAGGGACATCTGCTTGTGTTGTCATCGCAGGGTTTGCCGATTTCCTTTCTCCCTGGTCTGTGGGGAAAGATGCCCGTGGTAGCCTTTCCCCTTGAGCACATTCAGCACTGACCTGGGAGGGGCCACGCTTTCTACACTTTGTGGAAGCTTCGGCACGGGCACGATGGGCACCTTGATTCCACTGTGCAGTTTGAACTTCAGCAAATTCCTGTCTCTTGGCTGAGGCTCTATGGAGCAACATCTGGGAGCATCTCCAGGGGCTTATCCTTCATGTCGGCTTCCCCAGAAAAACATGCTTTGATCCCAGACGATTTGCTGAGGGAGCTGGCTGGCTGCCGGGATGGGGTCAGATGCCGAACGTCTGGCTTGATGCCCAGGCACGTGACATCGAATCCGTGACCTAACCCCTTTCCTGCGATGTGCTGAAAGAAAGCAGTGTGAGCGGAACCTTCGTGTATAGCTTTGCTCATACCAAGCCCTCCATGATGGGACTTTCAGGCTGATTATAATAGTGTTTCTTATTATCTCATTTTTAAGAATGCTGGCTAATGGCCCCACAGGTAAAACAGTCACCAGGCCCGTCTTTCCTCCTCTCAGACCTTGCACAGAGGAAACTGCAATAGCAAGAATTTGTTTCATGTGTCAGAATGACTGAAAAGCTACGCTGCGTTAATGCAGCCAGTGGTCTAGGAACATAATTAAAATACGCTTCACAGGACGCCGTGTTTTAGAAAATGAGTTCCCATAAAAAGCGAGAGGGCCCATTTCAGGCGACCAGGTTATTTGTCTAACAGGCTCCTATTGTAGCATGCCACCTGTTGCCGGGAATAGTGGCTGGGTCCTATTGTATTCATGCGATGTGTCTGCAGCTAATGGAACTTAATGAGTCTCCATTACCGCTGCTCAGACCGTACTGTTTTTGAATTAGATGAAATGGGGCACTGGATGGAGACGGTCCAATTAAGCATATTTGGAAGAAAATATACATATACTTTGTGCTCTTTCCTACACGGTCCTTGCCAGTTCGAACATTTTAGGTTTCAGAAGGTCAGCAAGCGTGTTTTAAGCCTCGGGTGAGTTACAGAAGTTGGATTTTATACAAAATTAGCCAGAAGGGGTTCTGTTCCTATAGAACACAATGAAAATGAAAAACACCACCCGCTTTATTTGTGAAGTTCCTATCTACAATGCTCTCAGAAAGAAGGGATGGGAAGCCACTTGAGTCCTGTGCTTTAGACTTGTGCTAGAGGCAGGAAACTGAGCACTGTTTTGGGGAAGTGCTGGCTAAAACGGAGTGCCCTTCTCACTGAGGAGTGAACCTCCTTCTCCCAGTCCGAAGTAAGAATGGGGCTATTTCTCAAGACTGCAGATGACCATATCAGCTATGAAATCACTGCGTAGATTTC